ATCATTAAAACGCGTACGGTCGTAATAATATATTACGGCCGCATAATGTAATGTATTGTTGATACTCATTATTCTCGGCGCGGTTCTTTCGACAAAGAAGATGATTTAATCCCATAGTTTATGATCTGAAGGACCATTTTTATGGTAATATGCTAAATGGCCTTATTAGCTACTCCGTGTAAGAGAACCACGCATCTCTTATAACGTCGTCGTCGCTAAAGGTACAGTTTGGAACTTTAGGCTGCAAACCGCAGACTTCAGGAAACATTACCGGTTTGTATGAAAAATTTAGATAAGGTTTTACCATTTATTTAAAATTTGTGACAAACACAGATATAATTACTAAAAAATTTTAAACGACCCTCGCCAATCCAGCAACAAACTTGTCCACTGTGTAAGATCCAGGACGATTCTCTTTACTTCTGCTTTAAATCATTGAATTGGCAGGTCTCTTATGGGGGGCGGAAGTAAATTAAACAGTTTTATAGCTACAAATATATAGCATTTACCGTGTATCGCTGATACAGTTAGGTATCCCGATCTTCTCGACCTAATAAAAATTAAACACTGATAGACAAACAGACCTTGCAAAGTCAGAATCCTATATTCCCCGCATAGATCGCTACAGCTATACCAGGGTTTGCGTTTACCAATAATCCCTAGTGCGGTCTTTTGCATTTTAAATACCCGCTCCCAATCAGCAGAGCTCCCCCAAAATAGAAGAGCATATGATATTCGTGACTGAAAGAGACCAATGTAGGCAGTTCGAGATATATTGAGGGAGGCTTGTTTGTAAGCTCATTTATGTGATTCTTCCAGGACAACCGATTATATAGATAAACACCCAGAAATTTCACGGTCGTACTCTGTTCACGTTTCTTAAGAGGGAAGGTACATATCTCGGTTTTATTGAGATTTAGGCTTAGATTGAAGTTTTTGTAGTGTTATGTCTAAATTTCGTTTAATTAAGGCACAGTCAGCAGGTGTTATCGTTCACATATTGGAATGTTTTTGGAAAGAAGACTGGAAGTTCGGTTACATATAAAATAAACAATAACGGGCCTAAAATAGATCCCTGTGGGACACCCGCAATGACTGGTAAGGCTGATGATAGATTTTTTTCATGATCAACAACCTGCGAACAATACGACAAATGGGCTTGTATTAGTTGGAGCGCGAATTGCCTCCCAAGCCATAGATGGACAGTTTATTGGATTTTCATCAAGTAAAAGCCACCTCAGTTGAATGAATAGATTTAGATAGAGAGGGCACTATGGAGATTGGCCTATAATTGTTTGGATCACTATCCTCTCCCTTCCTGACCAAAAGAAAACATTTATTAACAATAATTGAATATATATTGAATATACCTGCACCTATTTGCTTCAAAGTTTTATTACTAACATCAGACACATCTTCGGACGTACTGTTACTTAAATCACTTCGTCTTTACTCACTGGACTCGGGAACATTAAGACATCATTATGTATATATTTAGTTGTCGCATTGGATGGGTCTAGATCTGTTTTTTGTAAGTTAATGGTGATCTTAACTCCTCGGCGAACCATTTTTTGTGTTTATTATTTATGTGAACTGTTTTCGTCTTTTTTGGAAAGCACTCCTGAATCACTCCCAGAAGGATTCTTAGGCAAACATTAAATGTCCCGGCTGTCCAGTTTCTCCAGTCCACACAAACGTATTACATCAAAGTTCTTGTTTTCAATTTGGAGCTCCAGTTCATCCAGTTTTCTTGTAAGGCTTCGAATATTAAGAAACAAAAATATTTCGTTCTGTAGCTCTGTCCTCGTTATAAGATGATTTTTAAAACTGATTCACTTATTTGTTGTTTCATCTGTTGGATTTGATAGTTTTTTTTGAATTCTGAAATAATATCTTATCACTTCAACATCTTTGAACCAAAAACTGGGATTGTACATATTATTCGAAAAGTGCTGTTACCAGAAATGTTTAAGGATCCATCCCCAGATTTGATTTGCTTCGACATTAGTCAGGTATATCCACAAACGCTTTTCAACTCCCAAGAAAACCTGTGGAACTTTCTTCTGATGTTCCCAGTGTTTTGTAAAATTTATAGTTACGTTGTTTTGCTTTTTATTGCGTCGTGGGGGTTGTGTTTGCCGGTCGTTTTGATTGTCATTTGCTCCTAATTCTAAGTTTTGGTTAGTTTGCAATTTTTACATCTTTGGTAACTTTTCGAGTGGTTATACTATTGCCTGTGCTACCGCTATTATTATTCACGCCGTGTTTATTAATCCCAATGCAGAGAGAACTAACTGGCTCCCGAGCCATTTGTTCAGCTTGCTCTTCAGCACACTGTCTGCCGTTCCAAAGATAAGTAGTGTTAAGCTATAGTGATACTTTCAAAGCAAATCGGTCTCTTGCAAAAGGGTAGAAAAAAGGAAAGACGAAATGAAGGAATAAATAAAATCAACTGCAATCAGTGACAGATGTGAGACACTCTTTTAGCCCTCTGTAGACGCAATTCTAAACTAATTTTTTTTCTCTGAAAATGTATTGGGATCTGAGCATATTTAACGACGAAGGTCTTGCACATATTGAATGTCGCTCAACATTCCTTCAAAAGTACCTGTACGATCAGCACAAGCTAGGCCACTATATATTTAGTAGCTAGGTGTGGGTATGGTCTGTTCATAGATATAAGAAAGTGACCAATTGCTTTTGAATGGGATTATCCAAGGGTGGTCATTAACATACAATGCAACAAGATTATTACCTTAATAATTAACAATTTATAATTAATTCATTAATGATTTCTTTAATTAATAACAATCTTGTTGCATTGTATGTTAATGACCACCCTTGGATAATCCGTTCATAAGCAATTCCATAATAAATTTGTCTTTCCGTTTCATTGGAATTGGAAACACAATCCATAATACAAAAAATTTTACTTATGGTATGTGAGCGGCCTGCGGGTTGTAATTCTAACAGAGATATCAGTCCCATGTGCAGCAGCTCTCATAATGACGAATATAATTTTTCCCGCTGATAGAACTGCTACCAAAAATTTAAATTTTACAACAGAACGAGAAGAGGTTGAAGAATATAAAGTTTCGTATAATATGTAAAAACATTTTTCTACGTTCTTCTGGGTTCTTAACACAATGGGTTGGTGGCTAGGATGGTATTTTCTTAATATGTTTCCTTATCTCAATATTATAGAAATTAAACTGATATCTGGGCAAGCAAAAATTGGCGTTTGAATTTGGTCTCAATATATACGAGATAGCTTGAAATTAAGTTGATGAAAGTGCCTTCTGCATTTATTTTCGGAATGGCAGCTTCATAATCTTCTTCCAATAGAAGAACCAGTGCGAGCTCCACGATGCTTTTACGCGATATCTTTCTAGACGCACAAGCGCGTGCGATAGACGCTACAGCTGCTGCAAACGTCATAGCGTCAAGCAGGATTTTTCTAAGCCGGAGCATGTGAGCAAGGTGAAATGAATATAATGTGGTACCGGATTGAAGAAATGTTCAAAGCGTGACTTCAGACCGATGCGTTGCTCCAGTTTTCCCGTACGGACAAAAACGTCGATCAAATGTGAAAAATGGCGTTAAATATTGATAACATTCGTGTACCAACACTGAAACACGAGTGGCAGAACAAACTGGCCCGTACCTTGACAGCTTTATTTCGAATCGCTTTAACGTGCCATTTTGCATTTTAAAGCGCATTTAAATAAACACATTTACCTACAAATCGCGAGATTTATGAGTGAAAATCGGCTTCGAGCGCCAACTGGGTCAGCGTTCGAGTTTCATTTCGCACCGGGCGGCTCAACTGCGCTCATAAAATATACGGCCATATTAATTGGGTTAAATGTCATACATGGGACTGCGGACAGAACGTGTGTCCCGAACAATAATCTATTTGTATAAATATTGTACGCTGTTTACGAACCGGTAGAGGGAGAACTGTTTACTATATCCATAAAACGTGAGTTGATTAATTGATATCCTCGCTTGACATTATTAGGTATTAAAATACGGTGTATATTAAATATGCGTTATCGAAATGGCGTGTCGTAATTTAATAAGTCATTCATCTGGATGCCGAATCCATGTTTTGTTCTTTCGAATTCGAATAAAGAAGAGGCGTTTTTTGTAATAAACGACTCAACGGAGCGAGTATACTCGCTGCCTCCTTTTACTCTGTGACTGACAAAAGCCACACACGAAACTTAACTTAAAAGACTCACAGAAATAAAATGGTTTAAGTTGCCATATATGGTGCCGAAAGTTGAAGCGGTAAATGTAATTAAGAAATCGAGAAACTGTGCAGAGACTAGTGAGCTCTTAAAGTTGCCGAAAAGGGATTATAGACGATCTACTGGCGGCCAAAAGAACGTCAAATAAATAAATTAAAATAAATAAATAAAAAACTTTATTGAAATTTCTAGAAATACAAACAAGGCAGTAATGCTGCTTATAACCTTTGAACTAGGAATCAAAATAGAAAAGTACGAAATAAAAATATCAGCTAACAATCTCAACGAATTGTTTAGAGGTTTAAGTGATGCATTATCTGCAAGTGCTTAGGCAATTGTTGATGCAGAAGAGCGGTTTCGTTCGAATCGTCTTAAATTGAATGAAAATAAATAAGAAGTTGTCTTTTTTCGGGCGAACCCGACGTTAGCTCTCACAAAGTTAAACTTCTGGCCGTGTACACAAATAGTAGACTTAACTGGAACGTACATATAGATATGCTGGCCCGGATATTAAAAAAAGTTGCATTTCTGATTCGAAAACTTATTCAACTCACAACTTAGCTCTAAAGTTTTATTTTAATAACTTCGTGAACGTGATGTCATATAGCATATTGTTGAAAACTGCTTCTTTAAATTTGCGCTTTCGCCAATAACAACTTAACGAAACCAGTTATATACGTTATATGTTTACTTCGATAGCTCATATTAACTTATGACTTATATTTATTTATTTTATATTCGTTACAGGTTATTACCAGCCGGCAGGTCCCCTTATTACCGTACCTCATGGGCACGGACAACATCCTGTGCCACCACCACAACAACCTCATCCGCCGCCGCCGCCGCTATCGAAAAGTGTGTCGCTGTCGGACACTACCTCTCCTTCTTCGGCAACGTCGCCTTTGCAACCGCACGCGGCCCCTCCACCCGCAGCACCCAGTTCTAACGGTGACTCATCTGATAGTGAGGTTAGTTACAACCCCCTTGAGTACTCCAAAGCAACAGAACAATGGGTTATCAAACCCGCATTATCAAACCAGACAAATATGTGTTAATATGTATTCCAATGAACGGAGAGATATAAAAGTATTTACCCAAAAGTTACCGTTCCAATTGCAGCCGGATTCAGTTGGTTTTGAAATGAAAATTTGTAACCCATTTGTAACATTTGCATCTACATATATATATATATATATATATATATATATATATATATATATATATATATATATATATATATATATATATATATATATATATATATATATATATATATATAAATGACATTATGAAATACTTTTGATAAAACTTCCGGATTCCTCCTGTTGGCTTCTTCGGAGCTTGACTGAAACTGGCTCGCATTTTACTCTGTATCCGCTTATATATTGTTGGAGGAGGGCGGAGCTAAATGAGGGACATAAACACCGTCTCCGATGACTGATTCCCATATTGATGGCAGGTAAAGACCTGAGTCGCGGTTAAGATTGATTTAGTTGCTTGTAGAATTTCTATTGACTCTCGGATTTTTCGTTGGTAGTTTTAGTCTTAAGGCTCTTTCATGTTCTTGATATTTTACGTTCGGTCTCTCCAATGTATTTTCAAATGGAATTGTGTCTTTGACAGATCGAAGATGTTGAAGTTGGTAAATCTGGTTTTGACGTTATATTTCTTTAGAACTGTTGATATGTGGTCAGTGATGTTTTGAATGTAAGGAATAACAACAGTGGCAAGTGTGGGAACGCTTAATATCTTTAATGTGGAATTTATGTGTTTCAATTCTGGATTCAGTGACTCGGGCTGAGATAGTTTTACGGCTCTGCAAACAGAGTCGATAACCGATGATTTTTGGGCCGGATGGTGATGTGATCATGGGTTAAGGAATCGGTCTGTGTGCGTAGGTTTTCCGTTAAAACAGCGACCCAATGTTAGGTTTGATTTTCTATCGATAGGAAACTAACCAAAACTAATTTTTTTAACTAACTCATAGGCAGACTCCGCTGTGTTTTATAATCAATGAGTTTTGAAATTTTTGATAATGCCCCCTTCCAATGGTTGACATACAGATAAGCAGTTTTGAATTGATGTTTTTCGAATTCATACCTTTGGGATCAGCTGCGGAGTTGTCTATAATAATAATAATATACTTTATCCAGGTAATTTCGACAAAGAAAATTATAAGTCTTTCAAGTAACCAGGTTTTTAGTTCCGAAGGGAATAGGGCGGGTCATTATAAAGTTTAGTCAAGTCGCAACTGAAAGATCTTTCAAATATACCAGATTGGGGACGAGGAATAATGATTCCTTTAAATCTGGAAACTTTTTTCCTGAGAGATATTCAGGGTATCCACAGCGGCGTCTTCATAACGTCATGTCCAAAAACAATGAGATCTTTGTCCTTTCGAAACCGATTCTTCGATCGAAATCGTATAACCAACCACTCATTGTGACCCAGGTCTTTTTATTACATTTCCATATGACTGGTAACTTATTTGATTAATGCTCTTGAATACCCTAGGTCTGGCTGATTTGGCTATAACCAATGGCTGTTCTTTCCCATCACATTGACACAATGTAATATCGTTATGCGTTAGAGGGTTTTCCAGCAAAGCATTTTCCTTTCTTTAGAGTCATAGTTTTATTTGATAATTGCTCGACCTGTCTCGTCGGCATTGTAAAATGTCTCTTGGTGTTTGTTTTTTATCAGTCGGTCAACTTCTCTAAAAACGAGGATACATTTTGAGGATATACAGAAGCAGACTCTCCGCATGTTGTTGGCGCCCATGTCAAGTCATGCGGGTAAATTTTAAAAGAATGAAGATTTGTAGTCATGTCAGTTTTCAGCTTTATTATTATCATTGTTGTTGTTGAAAAACTTCTTTTTCCGTGGTTTTTACAAAAGAATCCGACGACGCAACGGACGCTTCGCGGAATCACCACATTTTGTGATTAATTTTCTTATCTTAGTGCCTCGACAGCATGTGATAGAAATAATTGCTATTAGCGCAGAAAGAATAATTTATTTATAATTATTTAATTTTTGTTTTAAAAAATATTAAAAACACTGTCCGTGTCCGCTTAAGAGAATGTCTATTTAAGAGAAAGACTATAATGGTTTTCTTATGGGAAGTTGCCGAGAATATATAAAACTGTCCTCCGTACAAGGGAGGTGTCCGTTAAGAGAGATTTCACCGTCATGCTCTTAAAATTATGTTAGTAACAATTGAATGCTGATAATGTAGGAACTTTGGAAACGACGAGGAAAAAATATTCGGATAAGCTATTTAATATGCGCCTGCGCGTTCATTTCAAATCTCGTCTTTAAACGAAAAGACCCAGACCCGGGCAGGTTTCAGTTTAGATGTAGCATTTTTACGGCAGTATTTTCTCAAAATATGCCAAAACATATTTAGAAAGCCATCGGCCTAATGTGTTTTGGTGAAATTTAGAGATATGCGCGGAAAGTCATTTCCATCTCTAGGCCACTATATTATCTAATTACACCTGTATCACTACTCGAGAAATAGAGACCCTGTCCATGTCGTTAATACAGGAACTTATGACGCAAGTGGATGAATTTGGGACATTCAACAACCAGCGTGGCCGCTGACAGATGATCTATAGGTTTGGATGCGGCATTTTTACGCCAATAAGACCACTATATTATCTAGCTATATGACTACAAGTAGTCGGCTGCGTTTTAAAAACTGAACTTATTGAGTACTGCAAATATAAACACGAAATCTGGATTAGATTTAGCTTCATTTGAATCGAAGATATGACAAAGACTAAAAGGTTCTATTTTTGCAGGTCATAATAACATCGGTTACCGCTGGCACAAAGGAACTCCCCCCACCGCCGAGTCATCCTACCTCCTACCGTTACTCGCAGTATCCTTCACCCGGAAGCTATTCTTACCCTTATCCAGCCTACCATTATCCGACACCACCTCACCCCAGCTCGCCGTATGGCCACCACGATTTATGCTATTCCGCGCCTACCGTTAATTCGTACGTACACCACCCGAAGTATCCGACTTCCTACGGGAGATATTTGAGCAGCAGCAGATATTATCCGGGAAGTCCCACGACGGAAATGTACCCTCCGCCGCCCGGTGCTCCGCCTCCACAACCCACTCAACAGGTATTGTATAATTGATGATTACGAAATGAATAATTGCGTTGCGTTTCGGATTTGACTTGGATTAGTTACTTCAAAGCACGTGTACCCCCGTCTTACCTTCGACAACGACGTCAGGGATGAACGTAACAGTTGATTTCACCCACTATAAACTGTTACTGCGTTTTAGATAACTGCCTATTTAATAATTTAAAAACTAATTGCTTTGATCTAATCGCAAAAATAAAAAAAAAACTTAATGTGTCCCTTTTAATCTTTTTTTAAAGTATAAAAAACTTATATCTTCGTTGCCAAGGTGGTTACATCATCTCCGGTTTCGTCGAATAACTCGCCGTATCCCACGGCTCCAGCCGGTCCCCCACCACCTCCCACTATAATTGAGACTTATCCGCCACCTCCAGCGCCGCCGACACTAGTAGAGACGTATCAGCCTCCGCCTCATCATTATTACCCGTCGGCGTACGGTATTCCCCCATCATGTTATAGCCATACCCCCACAAGGGCTATGCCATATATGAGTAAGTAAATTTGTGGCATCACTTGGTCATTAAATAATAACGCTTTTCTGTGTTGCCAGACCCTACATATCAAAATTGCCCATGTCCAATGCAGTCGTGTCCAAAAAACGTCCTTACTGGGCCTCTTACTGGTGAAAGTAAGAGGTCTAACATTTCCAAGGACTCAATGCCTCTACCTCCAGTTGCCTTAGCTCTCCCTTTAGAGCCTGCCAGCGCTACAGGACCTCCAAGTCCTGCTCGAGGTTCGGCTGGTATGCCTCCACCACCGTCGCCCGCAGGGGCAACTTACCAACCGCCACCTCCAATTGCTAAACAAGAATCGCACTTGATTGAGAGACAACCAGATTGTAATGGTGAGAAAAAACGCAAGGCGAGAGTAGGTAAAGCTATGGTACGGAATAACATGCAAAATACAATGCTGCTGATGTGTAATCCAACTCAAAATTATGTAAAACGGGAAATAGAAAGTCCAAAAGATAAAGAGGAGCTGCATAAAAAAGAAGAGGTAACAAGTTACCCACTATTTTTCCTAGTTTTATTAATTTATAAATTTCCAGTGTTTACCTGCAGATTCCGCCAAAATTCTTCCAGAAACGTTTACAGAAAAGTCCTGTCTTGAAGACGGCTGCACTATTCTGAAAAATGAAATCAGGGACGATAAAGTATTCGAAGATCAGCCATCAAAACATACGGTGCTCGATCTAAAATTGATGGAGAAAGAAAGTGTTGAACAAAAACATGACGTTCTCAGTATCGCACAACCTCTACCTCCAAAGGAAGACAAACCCCTTCCTCCTTGTGTTGCCACAGTGGCGGAAAATGTAAAAGTAAAAAATATGAAGCGAAAACAACTAATGGCGAATGATATTCAAACGTCGGAAAATGCTCATCCTCCACCTGCCAAGAAAAAGAAAATCGGATCCTATAAAGATTTTATTAGGAAACACACCAGCTGCTTCAAAATAAACAACGGAAAGAAAAAATTAATAAGCAAATCGTCAGGAAAATCGAGAATGCCAAAAATCAGACTAAAGGCGCCAATAAAACGGAAGCAAAGTAATGTAAGAGGTCAGAAAACCAAGAGAATGAAACTGTCTGTTTCTTCGCCGGTGGAAACAAAACTTTTTAAGAAAGACAATCATGTACAGGCAGATAAGAAAGAGAAATTCAGAAAAATAATTAGTTCCAAGTCGACGAGGGGATCACCAAAATTAGCTGAAAACGTGCTGGATAATCTAATCAGCAAAAACAACATTAATAAGACTATCGAAGATGTGATTAGGACAGTGGTCGGTGATGTGCCAGTGAAAAAGAAAGAAGTGGCCAAAATTGTTGAGTGTAAAAATAATGTTAAAGATAAAAATGTGAATAAAATGGTTGCGGACAAAAACGGGGGCAAAATTTTGGAAAATAAAAATCATATTAAGTTCGGTAATACGTTTGAAAATAAAAATTCTAAACAAGTGAAACCCGAGTGCAGGAAAACCAGTAGCAGCAGCAGAAGAAAATCTTCAAGTGGGGTGTATAAAAAGGACACTATTGTGGCGGAAATGGTCCCTAAAGCACCAAGAAGATCCTTGCATCTGCCCAGATGGTCAAATGGATGGCGGTGGGAAGGTGACCCGTACGAAGCTAATGTATTTATGAATGTGAGTATTGTTATTCTTTTGTCGACGATGGTCGGTACTCACCAATACCGTTGAACGATCGCCATTTTTTATTTTATGGTTCAGACAATCTTTTAAGTTCATAATTTTATGTTATTTATTGATATCTACACACACGTTTTTTTTATTAACAATTTAATGGGATCTATGGATAATGGGCATATTTTCGTGAATTAGTGCCAACAAATGCCAGACAAATCTAAAAATCTATGAACTGTCAGCGACCATGTTCGATTGTCAAGCGTCTTAACTCATTAGTAGGTTTGAAGTGACCTGTGTTTTAAAATAACTCGAGTATACACATATTGAATTTGTTTGTTTGAAAAGTATAAAATTATAAAAAGGTACGTCTAGTTCGTGGAAACCCAGCATCAACATGTCCAATTTTGAAATTACATCGCATATTAGCCGAGTGTTTATAGAATGGTTGTGATTTCGCTGTTACACCTATATTTCTCAAAGAATTGAAACATAATTCAATGCGAATAAGCTATCTAAAAATATTAAAAAGAAACCACAATTACACATTTTAAACTTCTACATACCGACGTTGATATTCAGAAACGTACATACAAAAACAGTGTCTATGCAGAAGAACGTGGCACTTAAAAGCAACCAAAGGGCAGAAACTTTGTACGTGACATTGTGCGACGTCCGTCAGTTGCCTCCGGCGTCCACCTAAGTTTCACGTTAATAGGTTATATAGGTAATCCCACGTGGTTTTTATGAAAAATTAATATATTTATTTAATAACTGATCCTAACTTGTTATTTTCAAAAATACATTTCTCTCTTTTCCTTTTTCCTACCTGCATGTATTCTTTATATATAACTTTATATTACTGCAGACATTGCAGAGCTAAGTTTTAAGATTTTGAGATATTCGTCCAGTCACTAAATATCTTAGAATTGCACTTCGTGTACATTTATTATTATTATTAGTGCACGCCTCTGCCGCCAAGTCTAAAGTCTGTTCGCGGACCTAGTGTTGTGTGCACCTTTTTGCACGTACATAAACGTCTGTCTGCAAGGACCTTATAACATTTTTTATATCATAAATGCTCCGAATCAGAGGTTTGACTTGCTGATAGCGCAGCATTACTTCTGACCGGACACCTTAACTTCATTTTGGAGGCTGAAGAAACGGTCTCATTTTTTTTTTCGTACATATTTTCTGCAAATATTCCCACATCTCGTGATGTTCTGTGAAAGCTAGTTGAGTGTGTGGAGATATAATGGTTGAAATTTACAGGCATATATGCTTCACATATGATTCAAGAATTAGACGCTACTGTCTTATAAAGATGTTTTCTGGAATATCTCTTTTTTTGTAACTTTTTATCTTTACGTCATATTTCCGAAAGTACCTAAGATAACTTCAAATTTTTAACGGAACCTTGGGTCAATTCGAGCTTTTCCGAGATGCCAGTGTAGAAAAAACACCGGATATATATTTTTTCAGAGCGATGAAATAACAGTTCTAAGAAGATGTTATCCAGCGATGCGACACGAAGGCGGCGATTTGATAGTGCCGCGTGACTGCGTTCTGCTAAAAGCGGGTCCAAGGAAAAACGATCTTCCCTATGTTGCCAAAATAGCGAGCCTTTGGGAAAATCCCGATGACGGTACGTAGTATCTAACTTTTATTTTGCACAGCGTTTTGCTTATCTTCAAATACCACTCCTACACAATATATCAACTCGCTGATATTTTTCAGGGGAGATGATGATGTCTCTACTATGGTACTATAGGCCCGAACACACAGAACAAGGTCGTTTACCTAGTGACCAAATCGATGAAGTTTTTGCCTCAAAGCATAAAGACTCCAATAGCGTCGCTTGCATAGATGACAAGTGCTACGTGTTGACGTTCAATGAATACTGCAGGTATGGGCGTTTTTTGGTTAAATTTCGATTTCCAATCTGCACATAATCATTCAAACCAATTGATTTGATTTTACAAAACCAGTTTGATCAAGGAAAAATATGGAGTAATGGAGTTGTTCCTCTTCTTCTTTCGGGAATACCCTTGAAATCTCAAAAGCGCGATTTACTGGTCAATACTTCGATTGTCTAAAAATATTTTAAAGACTATGAAAGTATCACCAGTCATTATTAAGTGAAAACTGAGCGCCACGATCGCGGCTACCCGCATTTATACGGTGTCAGCTAGCAAGGGAGCACGTCATCGGGTGGGACAGGTCAAGGTTCCTGATGCCTGACACTAGATGTCGCTACAGCCCTATGATTTCTATCCTCGGACGACTACAGAAGTTATGTTGGATGAACGCAGCTTCTACTTCCAGAATCGAGGATTGGTATTGTGAATTTTATAGATAGAGTGATTCCAAATAATCCAATAACTATAGAAAAGAGCAAAGACTATCTGCAGCAGCACATAAATCATAGTGCAGATAAAACCAACTAATGATCATTCCTTATGTTAAACAAGTTTTTGAAAAGATAAGGAGAATTGCATCACAATACAACGTCAAAGCCGCCTTCCGTTGTGGGCAAACACTTGGACAGAATCAAACGGACAGACGCCAGAGTTCTACAAAAGGAAGAAGAGGAAGTTCATAGAAGCTGCCTTCATTTAACGCGTGTCAGTCGTCGGGTACCTTGATCTGCCCCACTTGTCAACGGCCCCAACCAATGACATACTCTCTTGCTACCTGACGTAGCGCTTCAGTTTTCACTTAATAATGGCTAGTGATACTTTCTAGCCGAAATGTAGTGGTAAAAACGTTTTTAGACGATGGAAGTGCGAAACGCCAGTATTGACCAGAATCAATCATAGTCGTCTACCTTTAGAGAAGCGTGATTTACTGATCAGTAGATAAAATATCTAAACATTGTTGACTAATTGGAAGTTTTTGCCATTCAATATCTTCAGAATTTCAAAGCTACCTTTTTGCGCCTTTATTTTCCACAATTTTCTGTTGCCGTGAGAGCACAGAGCACATTAGTCAGGCAGATTTTGAGCACTTGGAGAGTATATCAATGATATTGACACTTTAAGATAATGTCTTGTGAACAGCAGACTCGATAATAATTACTAAGAATTATTTTAGGTATAGGAAAATGTATAGAAGGTTGGAAGAAGGTTTGGATGAAACGCCGACTTGTATACCAATACCAGAACCTTATCCCAGAGCAGATCGACAACCACCCTCGGGTAGTATGAGCCCGGACATGATTTTCTTTTGCCGCAAGGTGTACGATTTTCGACAAAAACGGATTATCAAAAATCCAACCTAAAGGTCAATATTTATTTTTTATCGTGTTAAATATATTTCTCATTTTTGTTATTTGTTATTGAATATTAAATTTTTATGTACTTTTAGTCCTGAAAGAAAACCACCGCATAACGTGGTCGATATTTTATTACTGATTTTTATGAAATTATATACAGTGATAGTCGTCGTACCCCCCCCCCCCCCCAGCGCGGTTTCTGATGACCGAAATTTGTATGTATTAAAAAGACAAACTTTTCATTGTGAAACGCAACGTATTTTTATAAGCGGTTAAAAGTATTCTTTCAGTTCCGGTTTTAAGAAAGAGATTATCGATTTTAAATTGATTTTCTTGCGAGTCAAATTGAGGTACTTAACCTGTCACTTCTAATACAAGTTGCGTTAATAGTGTCCTTGAAATTTACATCCGAGGTCATCGAAACGCTTCGACTTTTAATGTTTTCGACTAAATCGAGTCCTGAAAAAATAAATTTTATTACAGTGGTTGTTAAACGTTTATTTAAGAAAAAACCTGTGGGATCATTAAAATTTGTAATATAAAAATAAGGGAAAGAATAGTTATCAAGTTGTATAGAAAAGTAAATAGAGTTGATTATATTATATATTTAAATATTTAAAACAAAAAAAAAGATATTTACAGTGCTAGTGAAATAGAAACGCTGGTGTAAATGGTGTGTGCTTTTCTAGTTTGTAGATTGTGTTTTCGTCAATGTCATAATGAAAAAAGAAACAATTTTCAATATTTTGGTCCTGTCAGTATAAAATAATACCCAGTTTTTACGCGACGAGGTTGTGTACACAAAGAACTGCTTGACATTTTGATTTTCTAAAATCCGATATTTTATTGAAGTTAGCGACCCCAAAATTTATTATCCCGATGCTATCTCGAAGGGATATTGTTCTAGACTGACAGCAGCTGAGAGTTTAGATGTCAATTTAGAAATCAGATTTTTATACCCACTCTTAAGTTTTAGCCGCAACGTTTAAAAAAATTGTTAAGCAGAAATAAAAAATACGTCTATTTAAATATGTGGAATGAGGCTTTACTACTAAAGTTATTTTCTCATTTTGCAAGTTATCATAAATCAGATTTATAAAGTATTTTGCAGGTGCTCCTATATTTTTAATATATTTATTTTTAACGGCATTTATTTTACTAAGTGCATTTTTACTGAGCTTTGTCAAACTGTTTCTATTGTCTCCCACGTTTAGCACCTTTAGGTAAATGTTTAAATTACATAATATGCGATGTTTATTTTGTAGTAATAACTACTTATGTTAAATATATTGTTTTTATCCTTTAGTTGTTAAGGAGCAAACATATTTTTTAATTTATATAGTAATATATTCCTTAAGCTCTTTAGAGCATCAAAATGTTTTTAATTTAAAATGTAGCCAAAGTTAACGTTATTAATTTATTATAAAAATGAATCATTTTGTATTATTTTTAATGATGCCAACCTAGTTGATTATTTTTGTAAGTGTCTCTCCTTCCATCTTCACTGAATAAAGATATCAGTATTTTAATTTGTTTGATTTTCATGAGAGAAAAATGCAAATTTTAGGGGGCATGAGGGACAAAAGTGAGTGGAGAAAATGATGCCAACCTATTAAATTTAAAGAATATTTTTGTGTTTCACCTTCCGTCCATCTTCATTGAATAAAAATAACAGTATTTTAATTTATTTGATTGTTATGAGGGGGAAAATGCACATTTTAAGGGACAAGAAGGACAAAAGTGAATTATCATGATACCAACCTATTAAAGTTAAAGATTATTTTTGTGTCTGTCCTTTCATCTTCACTGAATAAAAATATTTGATAAAGTGTTTTAATTTGTTTGATTTTTCATGAGGGGAAAATGCAAATTTTAAGGGGCATGAGGGACAAAAGTGAGTGGAGAAAATGATGCCAACCTATTAAATTTAAAGAATATTTTTGTGTTTCACCTTTCGTCCATCTTCATTGAATAAAGATATCATTTTATTTTATTTGTATTTTAATTTATTTCATTGTTATGAGGGGAAACTGCAAATTTTAGGGGGCATGAAGGACAAATGTGAATGATAATGCTGCCAATCTATTAAAGCTAAAAATTATTTTTCTAAGAGTGTCTCCTTTCATCTTCACTAAATAAAATATATCAGTAATTTAGTTTGTTTGATTTTCATGACGGGAAAGTGGATGAAGGACAAAAAAACAAGAAATATGAGGCCAATGGTCAATATTTACCTATCCAAGCCAATCATAAATCACATTTTAAATTGCGGGATTGGTTTTGTTATTTTTTTATTATAACTGAAAGCTCCCCCAAGGAAAATTAATTGTATTTGTTAAGATACATTTTTTAAAAAGAATAGTTTTTCCTATTACAAAAAACACATAGTTACTAAAATTGTAGATCAATAACAAAATATGGCTACATAAAATATAAACTTTGGTAACAAGATTAAAGCTTATGGTAATAAAATTATTAAGTATTAATAAAATACTGTTTTCACTGTCAAAAATGATAAAAATTAGCTGATTTCAGGAAACACCGCATCCAAAGCAGCTTCTAGAATTTCCTGTAAAAAAAAGTTAACAACAATAAATTTAATTGAAAATTGAAAAAAAATTAATTCTAAAGGATTCATTAATACATACATAAAATAAGTGCTTATTCAAGTTTTTCTCTTGCAAAGTATCGAACAGTTTTTTGGCCCCGTTTCTACCCGCCGTTGTTCCCACTAATGTCGTCAATACTTCAGGTACATTGTTCACAAGCATCTCCTGCGCCTTTTGCATAGTTGCCAGTCTTTGTTCTTTGGTACGCTCAGGCCCAAACGGCGCCAGAGCGCCACCGGGCCAAAAATTTTTCAATATTAACGCTATGTAATAATGCAGCATTTCTTCTGAGAACCACCAAGAGATTGTCTCGTAGATTTGACGGTTTATGTTGCGGCCTGAAATAATAGTTTTTAGATTTGTCGGAGTTCCGAGTCGTATCCAAAAATTACCATAAGTGACTTGGACAAATGCGATCAATGTTTTTCTAAGATATTTAAACACTCCTCTCATATCGAACAACTCGCTTAAAAGGGCATAAAGCGGTTCGGCTATCGAATCTTTACCATCTTCGCATACTTTTATGAAATGTCCATTTGGTTTAACAAAATCTGCCGAATCAACTCCCACGGAATCGAGGCACGATATATCTTCCTCAGAACTGTCTTTCAGTAACGAGAATGTTGTATTCTGTTCACTGGCGCTAAAGAGTTTCTCCATTTTTAAATCTACTCTACCTTACTTTACTTTGAAGTTACCTTTTAAACAAAGTAGAAAAGGAAAATCTTGACTTCTTCGGACTGGGTGTTGAATGCTTCAAATGCTCAGAACTTGGACTCAGAAACGAATAAATCGCTTCGCTTTGATTTAGTCTATCGTCTTTTAAAACAAACTAAAAGGCAAATTTGAAACTGAAAATTGTAAAAGAAATAATATGTGGAAATAACTGGCGCTAAGAGAACCAAAGTCATGGAATACGAAAAGCACATGTCCTCATTAAAATGGCTCTGAATATTTGGCGGAGCATGACGGACAAAAGTGAACAAAACAAAGATTTTAACTCACGGTATTACATTTTTTTTGAGTTAATTGGAAATTTGATACATTTGTGTATTGTGGGCCCATTTATATGCATATTTGGGTTTTTTATTTCACCAGAGGCGGTCTATTGTTTATGTTTCTGACATCCTGTGTGATCGAGCGTTTGTTCCTTCGCCAGCAACTCGCAAAGCATACTCACATCAAGATATTTCTGAATTTGCAATTTAGCCTTTTCCACTGAGAGCTTATCATTTTTTCCAAATAGAAATTTAAATGTGTTTGAGGGCAGCTCCAGATTGCGTAGGTCTGAACACAGCGGCCTTAGTTTTTTGTGCAACTCTTGGAATTGGATTAGATTACGGCACACCACCCAACCCGTCGATATTCCCATTTCGCCATCGGTCGAATCATTTTCGGACATTTGAACTACCAAGACAAACTGCGGCGGCTCTTTTTCTTCGCACATCTAAACACGCATAAAAACACATAGAAAAAATACCAAGTGGATAAAAAAAATGATCTACCTCCACGCTTTGGACAAACGCCGTCCATCTGCCCAAGTTTTCTGCCCACACTTCGGTTCTCGTCAGATGCGCCTCCAATTGTCTTTTCTCCCCTTGCAACCACTCAACCTCCTTTTCCAATTTACTCAACACTTTAGATTCCGGGCGCATTGAAGATTTCAATGCAGCTAAAGCCTTTTAAAACCCTATAAGTAAATAAACGTTTTCTATGCTACAACGAATTACCTGTATCTTATTGTTTAGCTTTTCGTCCAGCTGCTCCAACTTTCTACGAGCGTAGTTTGAATGGTCTCCGACATTTAAACTACTTTCAATACTACCGGCCGAATCAACTGACAATTGTTTCTCCTCTATGGAACCCAATTCTTCTTTTTCCATTAATTCACTTTCATTCTCCATTGCTAAGACCATCTCTTTGTAGTAGTCACTTATAAGAAATGGTTGGTAGTATTTATCTTCTATCGTCTGAACAACTTGCTGTTGTACTTCATAGAATACTTCTGGGCCTTTATCACCTATCACAATAGCTATGTCGTCCTCTATGATCAATCAACTAATAGAAATTATACCTAGCAAAAATGCCTCCATTCTTTTTTTTGTAGCTTTATCCACTTTAATCTCTGAAACTGGGTTCCTAATAAATGTATAAAAAATTTCTGCACCTAGTTGGTGCCACTGGTTTCGTTGTGCTGCTCTCAGTTCATCTACCGCTACCCAGAACCTAATTAAGTCGTGACTTGCTAAGGTTTGTAAGAATTGGGATAAATATTTTCTACCAATAATGTCTTCTAGAACCGTTTGAAGTGATAATACCTGAAATAGAATTTTTGCTGGGTACAATTTAAATGCGTTAGCATTATTGTTTTTTTTTTTTTTTGGGAAAAATCAATGGTTTTTGGAGAAGAATAAGTGTAGACTTAAATTTGATGGTTCTCGCATGGATTGATAACAAAAAGGCCAGTTACCATTACCTTACTATATTCGTCTCCATATTGGTGTCCAATATCGCAACCCAGTTGACTGAGCTTTTTCTCGCACATATTCTTTGCGTTGGTCAACTGAATAATAGTCTTTTTGAGTTTTTTGGCAGCATTTATATCGGATTTCTGAATTCCAGATGAAGCCAAAGTATTTTTGTCGTTATCTAAATCAAGACCTTTTGCTCTGTTCAAATTTTGAAGAGTGGTTGCTTGCATTAATTTTGTTACCACAGTGTACCTAAAATTTGTATATATAACACAGTACACAATCTATCAGCAGAGTTACCTAATCTGTTTTAAAACTTGGGCATCATCCACTTTATCAACAATATCTTCAACATTTTCCAGTGCCTTTTTTGAAAGAGTAATTTGTTGCTGATTGGCTTTTTCAATATACAATATGAGATTGCGATTAAAAAAATCTGGATCAGTCAACATGTCAATGAAAGGCTTAAGCACTGACAGAAAAAAAATAATTATTTCAATACTTACTTAATTAATATTTTTAAATGTCAATGGTCAAAAAATGGCATACCTTTACAACACAATACTTCCCTTAGAAAGTATTTTGAAGGAGCTAAAGAATAGGTCCTTGGCAATAAAAACATGATCAACACTTCGCTCAATGTTCTTAAATATTCTATCTCTTTCTCTGAGGATATTACATGGAGACTAAGTTGAAATTCTGGTGGAATATCTTGCTCAATGCTGAAAAAATGTATAAATTTTTATAAATTTAAATTGACTGCATACCTGCTAGTTTTGGCTTCACGAATTTTTTCAAAATGATCAGTTATTACTGAAACAACATCACAAGCAATTAATCTTGCGTGGTCAACCCTAGACAGTTTGTCATGTAGTGTTTTTATTGCACCCCAGAAATCCTCTCTTTAAAGATATAATTATTACTAATAGTAAAAGTGAACCAACTTTCTTCTTACTTTATCCCAACCCCAAGGCCATCCAAATCATATGCATAGTCTCTGAGGTAAACAATAACATAATCTCTAATCACAAAATCCAAAAGCTGCTGAAGTAAGCTGTCAACGGTTCTACCGAATATCTGAGGTAAGTTAGGCTGAAGATTTTTCGGGGAATGTGAGGAATCATAGTCTTTCTGAAAAAATTTAAAGTTATTCATAAAGCAGTTTCTGATTCAGGGTCCAGTTCATTTTTCTTTGAAAATTAAAGAGACTGAAACTATTTAGATTTATTCTTTTTTTGCACAGAAACTCAAAACAAAACATAGACTCTGGGTACTATTTAAACTAAGTAAACACGACAACAGTGGTTGTTTTAAAATATTTTAAGGTAGAGCACCTCCAGTTGTAACTTATTAGTATTGTATGAATATTAGTGAATTATGTTTTGAGAAGAGCTATTTAAAGGATATTATAAACAATATTTCAAATTATTTCAATTTGAGCCTTTCTACAAAAAAATTTAAAGGATTTATGTCATAAAATCTTACCATAAGTTTATTTCTGAAGTTATCACACTGTTTCATATTATGTTCAGCTCCCACAATAGTCTTGTGAGGAGGTGATAGCATTATATTTATCCATAACGCAGAAAGTGATCCTAACACAGCACCAATTAAAAGAAAAACAAACAGAAGCAGAAAAGTTAAAGTCGTAGGTGCTACCACATACACTGCAAGTGAAAGAAATATACTGCCTACAACATATTTCCTACTGAACATCCTAAAATAATATATAAAAAGTAAAGAATGGTAACATCCTTTTCTCACATACATCGCTCTTAAAATTCATTATCTCAAAACGGAAGTCGCAACTCATTAGGATATTTATTGCCGACTGATAATAACAAATTACTCATCTGAACTCTCCTAAGGTTCAATGAGCGTTTTGTTTTTATCAAAAAATTGTAAATACAAGGCGACTGACACGTTTATTTTCAATTGACGTAAATTTCTTTGACCCTATGCGGGCTACCACGGACCATAAATTTCAGATCGTTTGGTATTTTTTGCAAAAATCGAATACTTTTTTTAAATAACAGTCTGCTAATATCCCATATGATCTAGATTTAGACAAAATACCACGATTAATTTCGGCTAAACACGTTCAATACTCCTAGAGCTTAAGCTTTAATGCGTGATGTAACCAAAAAGAGAAAAAGATTCTGTGACCCATGGAATACCGCGGTTGAATCGTAACGTGAGTTTGTAATTTTGTGAATTTCATGACAATCGTTTTGTGATTTGATTGAAATTTTCTATAATTAATATCTTTAAGAGTGATGGCATCTGCAATGGATGTAGATATAGATGAAGTTGAAATGCCTACTTCGAGTAGCTCGAAGGGAGAAAAGAAACGATTCGAAGTTAAGAAGGTAAGGATACAGACTAGACAATGCTCAGATGCTACTTAAATTCATCTAAATTTTTAAAAATCCTTTGTGTTTCAGTGGAATGCTGTTGCCTTATGGGCTTGGGGTAAAGTCCATTAACTTTCAACCTGTATTCTTTCTGGTAATATTAATTTATAGATATTGTGGTGGACAACTGTGCCATTTGCAGAAACCACATTATGGATTTATGTATAGAGTGTCAGGCAAATCAGGCTTCAGCTACTAGTGAAGAGTGCACTGTTGCTTGGGGAGTATGTAATGTGAGTTTGATTCCATGAGTTATATATTGCTTTTTGAGGATTTTTTCACCAGTTTAAAAATATTATATTTGGTAAATTGTTTTATTAAATCCATCAGTTAAACCAGTATGGGAAATATTTTATGTAGTTAAGCTTATTTATCTATTAGTATAAGAGTGTTGGATTATTTCCAATTTAATTTTTAGCATGCATTTCATTTCCATTGCATTTCAAGGTGGTTAAAAACACGGCAAGTTTGTCCTCTAGACAACAGAGAGTGGGAATTTCAGAAGTAAGTATTATTGACCTTGTAAAAGTCCATAAGTTCTGTGTATCTGTAATGTAAGAATCTAAGAGTAAGTAAGCAGATCAGTAACCATTAAAAGAGGCATGTTATATATTGAAATTCATTTATGTGTTCTCTTGTTGATACTCTTCATAAATGCCCATTAGGTTCAATCAAAAGTTGCTTCTGAAAATTAAAATTTAATTGCATTATGTATTCGGAAATTATATTTTTAAATATGAAAAATCTTAAATCGGTAAAGCAAGAAAAAGTTATTAACGATACACATGCAAGAACACAAATTTCAAGGTTGTGTATGCCAGATAAAATACAAAATTGTAAATTTTATACTCTCGCATAAATTTGCACTGAATGAGTTTTTAAAAAATCATAAAATAAATAATAAAGATCTTAATAAATATTGAAGCGATGGTTGTGTCATTTTAATTTTAATAATAGTTGCATTGTATTGTTATTAATGCTTTATCATTTGATTTTCAGATATGGCCATTAACCAATCAGAACCTCCGTTTTGCTTTTTATTTTTGTTTCACTGTAAAAATTGTTTCAATAATTATGCATCCAGATATTTCCAAAATAAAAGTCATTTCTATTGGCATACTTTTTTTTCATCCACAAACTTGAAATCCAGAAGAAGTATTAGAGAAATAGCTGTTATGTCTCACTTTGTTGTTACAAAAATCTGATGAACACTATGGCGCTTGCTAGATTTATCAGAAATGAAGTTTTTACAGGAAAACTGGAGAACTAATTTCTTAATTATTCACTATAATCATACTGATTAGGATTAGCGGCCCTCGTAATTAAAAAATTATTAACAAACAATATACTATTCAAATTTAATCGTCAGATCACAGGGTATAATATAATGAATAAAGCTAATTACATTAACAAATGAAATCCTTTGAGTTTTATGAGATGGTAAATGATAAAGTAAGAACATTAAATTATAAAAATTAAGTTGAAATATTACAACAAAGAACTTAATATCATTAAACAAATTGCACTGAACAACGGCTACAATCCGTCCATTACAGATAAAATTTTAAATAAAAAACAAATACAGACAACAGTAAACTCTATTTGTCCGGAACCTAATACAGAACGCGAACAATTTAAAACAATTACATATATAGGAGAACCTAGTGAAATAGTTTCACATTTTTGACGACAATTTTGATATTTTACATACAGCCACAAAAAGTAGAAAATTAAATTTATTGGAAGCCATTGAGATTAACAAAATGAGGCATTCAGATGTATTGCTTAACGATCAATTAGATTTAAATACCTCTCTTTTATTGGACTTAAATTCTCACAACAACTTTAATTATGGTTTTATGGTCATTTTTCGGTATATATAGTAACAGGTAGTTTGTAACCAAACAATTGTCATGTCAATATATAATCTCGTGAAAATCTTATTTATTTTGATAAATGGATTTTCATCAAGTAAAAGCCACCTCAGTTCAATTATTAGTTTTTAATCTTTAATACAATTATTTTAAGTAAGTTTGCACTTTATTGCAAATGTTAACGCATAACTATTTGAATATGTTTCGAAATCAACAGATTATATAGGTATATGAAAAAAAAATACTCACCTTGGTCGCAACTTACCCGACAAGAGAAAATCTACCTTCACCGGTATTTATTTATTTATTACAATTCCATGGTTGTTTAAAGGGAGTGTGGCAAAAGCGAGTTTGCGAATAAGTGTGTAACGAAATTTCTGGATAATACTGCCACTAAGAGAGAGAAACGTTAGGGGGCGGTTTCCCGAAGGACCAACAAGTTGCAGTCTCGCAGAATACAGGCGTTATAGCCGACACGGATGAGGCGAACTTAATTTTGATTGGCGCTTTAGCAAGTTTTATGACATTTTCAATTTTTTCATTAGTTTACTCGTTGTTAATATACTGTTGTCTCTCAGATCTTTCGATGTCATACGTTAAATGTCAAATTAAAAACTTGCTACAATACAAACAATAAGACAGTTTAATCCTCTATAACACAATAAAAATTGTAATTTAAAAATAATACCCAGAAAGTGGTATTCCGGTTGATAAATTTTTCAAATTTTTGCATCTAACGGGAAGGAAAATGACGAAAATGCCTATCAATGTATAGTCTGTCTCAATCTTCATCGTGCTGACTTTTGCCCGTAATTATGGAAGTTATCTGCCGACGGCAATAAAACTCGGGTGATTAATATTAATTAAATGGTAGGGACGGTCTCTCAAACGTTTTGGAAATAGCACTATTTATTTTGTTTATTTAGGTGGGTATAATCTTATTAAATTACACTGAGAAAAAACAATGACTTTAAATATATACACTAAATTCATAGCTAGGAATATCTATATATAATTTCATTTGTATTTTAAAGTCTAAATCTAGTTCTGTTTCAATATCGGAGTGCTCATTGGAATTAATTATAATATGATTTATGTTGTTATATACAGAAATGTAAGTCTTCAATTTTTATAATGTGCTTTACTGAATTTTTCCAGCTCTCAATTGGGATGTTATTAAATACATTTTTTATCAAATTTATAATATTGGGACTTAAAGTAGCAGTGCATCCACCATTTTGTCAAAACGCAAACCCATATCCATATTTATTGTTCAAGGATAATCGTGCGCCTCTAATTGTCGTTTCTACCCTTGGAAGCACTCAACGTCTTTTTCCAATTTACTTAAAACTTTAGATTCCAGGCGCATTGAAGATTTCAATGCAGCTAAAAATTTAATGGGATCTAGACATATTTTGACAAAATACTGCTGAAAAATACCACATTCATACTTATTAACAATTTGTCAGCAGTCATATTGGTTGTTGAATGCAAGTTTAATTAGCTAGAGATTTTAACTCTCGCGCATGCACATGTTGAAACGACCTTCTCAAAATTTTTGCTTTATAAGTTCCGGTATTATTAGCCTAGCTAGGACCTCTCTATATATACATCTCTAGTAGCTATATGACTGCAATTGAAACAAATGTACTGAACATCCTAAAACAATATATAAAACGTAAAAAAAAAAATTGGGAACTTCTTTAAATTCATTATTATATCAAAACTGAAGTCGCAACTCATTAGGATATTTAATGCAGACTGATAACAAAGAGTTACCCATGTGAACTATCCTTAGGTTCAATTAGCCTTTTGTTTTTATCAAAAAGCTACGAATGAAACGACAAGGCGACTGTCAACCTTTTTCAATGACATACATTTTTCGACCACTGACCATAAAATGCAGACTATTCGTCAGTTTTTGTAAAAATCAAATACTTTTTTTTTAATCTACAGTCTGCTAAATAATAACCCCTGTGGATGTAGATATAGATGAGGTTGAAATGCTTACTTCAAGTTGTTCGAGAACAGAAAAAAAAAACGGATCGAAGTTAACAACACATAATATTTAGCAATCCCTATTTGTATGTTGGCATATTCTTTCTGACAATATTAATTTATTTTATGTTGGACAACTTTGCCATTTGCAAAAACCACATTATAGATTTATGTAGAGAGTATTTGAAAATTAGGTTAATTATTGTATTAATGCATCGGTACGACTAAAATCTTTAGATATTTGTTTCTTTGGGGAAACTTTGTATGTATTTTATTACAATTAGTGTGTCGTATGCATATCATTCCCATTTCATTTTAAGATAGTTAAAAACACGACAAATTTGTCGTCTAGAGTCTCGGCCACAAGGAATGGAAAAATTAAGTATTGTTGATTCTGTAAATATCCAATGGTATTAATAATTAAGAATTAAAAAAGATCTTGAAACTATTTTCATATCATACATTCTTCAAAAAATTGAAATATGTAAATTTATATTAGGGTAGAGAAATAATGGTTTCCACGGGTGATGAAAAACCAACAGTAAATAATATTTTTTTAATAAATATTGTAAGTGCTAGTGTCATCATTTTAGTTGGTTTTAAGAAATAAATTCTGTTATCGTATTGTGCTGATATTATTACTTTTTCAGTTGATTTTAACATATGGTCATTAATTAATCAGAACTTTGCCTTCTGTTGTTGTTCAACTGTTTTGAAAATTGTTTGTATAATTATGTATCCAGGAATTCTCAAAATAAAACTCATTTCCGTTGATATATTTTCTTTACATACACAAACTCGAAATCCAGAAGTATTTTAATATTTATCTTGAATAAGAATTAGAGAAAGAACAGCTGTATTGACACTACAAAACAATTTAGATCTTGGCGTTATTATTTTATAAACATTTGTTTCGTGAATATTAGCATGTATATATCATTAACCAACCCATTTATAGGATCTGATAGAGTAGACGTTTCATTTTCGCTGCTCTCTACCAGCAACTATAAACGGCGATCCAATTTAGTTACATTGATTGATAATAGTTACTATTTTTATTTTTCACATCTGGTACCTACAATATAAATGTGTCAAAATAGTCATTGTGGGATGGAAGGAGAAGGTTGGATATTTCTAAACTAACAAATTTGCCTATTTATCAACAAACGATATACTATTTAAATTTAATCATCAGATCACAGGGTATAACATAATGTAATAAAGCTTACTACATTAGGAAAAGAAATCCTTTAAGTTTTATGAAATTGATCGTCAAAATTAACGTGAAATATGAATATTTTGCATAAAACCTAAAGGACTGGTTATGTGCCCATTACAGTATATATATCACAGTATATTCATATGAAAAGCAGAAAACGTTTAATAGCGTTATTGTCACATGAAGGGAAAAATGGAGGAGGTACTTTTTCACGTTCTTTACATTGTCACACAAAAAAAGCAATTACGTTACGATAAACATGAAAAGGATTATACAGTGCGTAGAAAAATATGTATAGTTTTTCAAAAATGCAAACAATATTGACAATTATTTAGAAGTTTTAAAGTAGAACTTGAAATTGTGTTTAGCTACGGATTCTGTAAATTTATTCGATGCTTCCAAACTTGCTTATTGTTGTGATTGATTCGCTAAATTATACTGTGCTCCGGTAGCAACGTGTTTTGCCACGAATTGCATTGTTGATTTTAAATGTCTGGTGCAGATTGTCACTTTGGATAAAAATTAGCTCTTGTAAAAGCGTTGAAGTAAATTCCCCTTATTACTTAAATTAGACCACAATAAATTCCTGATCATTTGAAAAACAAATTGATATGAAAATCAATATTTCAAAAGTGATGCCTAGTGTAATATAGTATAATCAAAATATTTCAGTCACAATATACATACCTAAGATGATGACAGGAAGTCTCCTATTAATGATAAACTTTATTACTGAAAATATCAAGTTTGTTAACAATTATTTATAGACTACATTGCAAATGTAATTTCCGACTGTAAAAATACACTTTTCAACTACAAACATTTAAGAAATAACATGTAATTTAAACACAAAGGTAGTATAAGGTACCCAATTAAAGGGAAAAAGTGAGTTAATTTAATTTGTGTTTTTTTTTGACAACTGAATTAAAAGTCTATGCACATTCATACATTTAGGCCTTTTTTACATTAAAACTAGCAAAAAAAAAAGATATTATTACAACTATATTTTGTCTGGTTTGTTTTGTTTTAATTATTGTTATTAGCTAGTATCCAAAACAAGCTATCTTGGAAATAGTGGAAATACTAATCTCTCAACTGACAGGATTCATTCTTATTACTCTTTTAAAGATTTATTAGGAATATTAATTATAATTTTTATCTTAACTTTTATTACTCTAACTAACCAAAACTAACCAAAACTAACCAAAACTAACCAAAACAAGCTATCTTGGATAATTCACTTTTATAGTGGAAATACTAATCTCTCAACTGACAGGATGAAAACTAAAAAAAAAAAAACTGCATATTTAGTGTTTATTTCGTACTCCATTTTATGTTCCGCCGGAGAGTGGCATTTTTTCGTTGAAGCGACTTTTCACCGCAGTTTAAATATGAAAAAATTTTGGCCATAGTTCGGTGAACAAAATAACGTATTTTAGATATTAGCAATAATAACGCAGATGCCTTTAATCAAAATTAAAAGTAGAAATTTGCCAGTCGAAGCATTTGATATATAAGTACATACGTATGTACAAAACAACTCTCGATGAGACAAAATATGTTTGATTTATCACATAATATGTATGTATAACATTTAACAACTGCCGAACAACACTATGTTACCACACTGGAGTTATTTTCGGAGTGAATGCCACATAGCTACGGGTTTTCTAAGCGCGGTAAGCATCTGATTCCAATGATTTAAGGATCGCCCGCTAGCCTGAGATCCCACTATTACATGGCCGATTGGGATTGCCTTTGTGTTTTCTTCGTTCGGAGTTTCGGCCACAGTCAATCGCAACTGAATAGTCTAACAAGTAAAAGGGAAATTTAACGTTTGAAAACTTTGAATTATTAACTATAGAAATAAATAAGAACTAAAAAGATGTTCACGAAATTATATATTATGACATGACAATTGTTTCGACAACACCGCGTCTTTATCAAATGTAATATTTACAAACTACCTGCTACTATATATAAAGAAAAATGACCATAAAACCACGAAAAAATCACACTTTACGCATACTTGCTGCGTGCGTAGCATAAATTCGTGTTCGTTATGACCGGCCTGAACTTTAACTTTATGTTCATGTTCGACTTGATGCCTCGAGAAACAAGGTTATGGACCGATCTTAGAGAAATATCTAATGTATCGTCAACACGCTACAATAAGACATAATAATTAATAATTTTCAGAAACATAAATTGATCGTTCATAAAAAAGAGATGGTTTCAAGTATGGAGACAGTAAATACTTACATTGTGTACAGCGTTTAAGGGTAAGACCATTTTTTAATAAAAAAAATTTCGTGAGTCAATTTGCGACATCAATTGTTTCGACAACACCGTGTCTTTATCAAATGTAATATTTACAAACTACCTGCTACTATATATACCGAAAAATGTTCATAAAACCTTAATTAATGTTGTTGTGAGAATGTAAGTTCAATAAAGGGGAGGTATTTAAATCTCATTGATCGTTAAGCAATACATTTGAATGTCTCATTTTGTTAATCTTCATGGCTTCCTATAATTTAATTTTCTACTTTTTGTGGCTGTACGTAAAATATCAAAATTGTCGTCAAAAATGTGTTTTTCTGTGTTTCAGTGTGTAGCATAATTAGGGGTCTCCAAACTACGGCCCGCGGGCCACATCCGGCCCGCGAACAGATTTTGTCCGGCCCGCGGAGAGCTTGTATACTTGAAAGAAAAATCTACTAGAGATTAGATGTTGTTTATAGCAAATAAATTTAGTTTACTGAAGTAATCTATTTTTACGTTGAATATTAATTAATATGACATCTACATTGATATGGTCATGGGCTAACTACTCATAACATTGTTGTAGGTTATTATATACTAACCAACAAATTATTGAAATGAATTCAAACAACATTTTATACATTTTAAATAAAAAAATAACTTATAACAAGCATAATGACATATGAAATTCTAATGAGATTTATGTAATTGTGATTTTCCACTGACAATAGTTTGTCCCACAAGGGCTAATTTTACTTGTACCAATTATTAAAAGAGATTTAAGATGCCCATCAGTCAATTTAGATCTGTAGACATTTTTTGTGTACTTCATTTTGGAAAAGGTCTTCTCACACAGATAAGTAGTACCAAAAACAGAAAACATTCCACGAGCAAATTTATGCAAATTATCAAATTGTGTCAGTGGAAGACACTTATAAAATTCCAACAAGGATAAGTTTTGATATTTGTTCTTAATGATATCACTGCACTGTAAGTCAATCAGTTCCATTTGAAGTTCCGGGGCTAGGATTTCAATGTCAGTTTCGAAAGGATTCTGAAAAATCTTAATTTGATTCGCAATGGCATCAAAGTCCGAGAAACGAGTATCAAAATTTATTTTTAAAGCAGTCAAAGTTTCAATTGCAAAATTGATAGGAAACTCGGTCTCACTGCTTTGGCTAAATATTTCACATGTCTTAAAATGTTTCCTTTGTGTTCCTTTTACATCATCAGCGGACTGATTCAACTTTTTATCACCGGCGACAATTAATGATAATATTGTTTTGGCCCTTAGAATTTCTTGGCGTGATCAATATGGCCCTAAGGCTGAAAAGTTTTAAGACCCCTGATCTAGACTATTGTTTTTAAACGCTCTTTTGTGTTCGTTAATGCGTTTCTTGAAGGATCTACCTGTTTGTCCAATATAAATTTTAGGACAAAATCGACATTTTAACCTGTAGACACCTGATTTTTGGTATTTTGGACATTTCGTTTTATTGTTTTTTAAAAATTTTCTTATTGTGTTGTTAGTTCTAAAAGCTATTTTAAACCACATTTTGACAAATGTTTTGAAACTTTTTCACTGGGTTCTCCTATGTATGAAATTGTTTTAAAATGTTCGTAAATAGAGTTTACTGTTGTTTGGATTTGTTTTTTATTTATAATTTTATCTATAATGAACGGATTGTAGCCGTTGTTCAGCGCAATTTGTTTAATGATATTAAGTTCTTTGTTGTAATTTTCTTTGGCGTGGCGTTTTAAGAAGTCTGTGTATAAAAGAGTGAATTTTGTGTGCATAACAGTGATTTGAGCTGTGATAAATGGAAAAATCTAATTTGTTTTGCGTTTTCGTAATAGTTAAACTAAAAAATTAATAGAGTTATCCTGTTCAATCTCGATAGTGAATTTTATACGATTATGTAAATTAAAATAGCTTTCAGAACTAACAACATGACAGGAAAATTTTTAAAAATCAATAAAACGAAATGTCGAAAATCTCAGTCTACAGGTTGAAATGCGGATCTTGTCCCAAAATTTATATTGAACGAACAGGTAGATCCTTCAAGAAACGCATTAACGAACACAAACGAGCGTTTAAAAACACAGAAAAACACATTTTTGACGACAATTTTGATATTTTACATGCAGTCACAAAAAGTTGAAAATTAAATTTATTGGAAGCCAGTTAGATTTAAATACCTCTCCTTTATTGAACTTACATTCTCACAACAACATTAATTAAGGTTTTATGGTCATTTTTCTTTATATATAGTAACAGGTAGTTGATAAAGACACGGTGTTGTCGTGTCAAAATATATAATTTCGTGAAAATCTGAACTAATTTATTTGGATAAATGGATTTTCATCAAGTAAAAGCCTCCTCAATTCAATTATTAACTATAGCTTAATCTTAGCTTAAGAAAGGTGCACCAAATTGCAAAATTTATTGTTAACAAAATTTATGTATATTTATAAAACTATGGAAAAGTACGGGTTGATTATTTGACACTACGAAGAACACGCAACTTATAATTTGCTTAACTTTGCACTGGATGTCAGAATACTCACCGAGAGCGTATGGACAGGAACGCTAAACATCATAGCCTCATTGAAGATGGGACACTGTTCGCCTCTTTTAGACGACGTTTTCTTTTTGTTGATTTTCTTATTTTGTTGCATTAAGTAAACCTGAAACGATTCTAAATACAAACACACCCACCCATTGAACTTACAACTTACCTTAACAAACGAATCTCCTGAGGCCCCAACTGAAAATTTAAGGTTTCTCGCTTTAACAACTACGACGGTCAGTCTTTCTGCAGTTGGAAGATAACTGATTGAGAACATTAACTCCCCAAATTCTGTTCCTTTCTGAAAATATGATGTTAGTAACAATTTTCTAAAACTTTTCATTGTCATCTGTTGCCCTATTGCTTACCTGACCTGTGTCTGTTAGTGTCACCCATGTAGTTACGGGTTGTCTTAAACTAATATCTATAAGCCTTAACTCTCCTTCTCCAATAAGGGTGTGCGACAAAAAATCAGTCGCGTATAAGTGAAACGCCAATATCCTCTGCAACACAAGAAAACTGTAACTAAGGTAACAGTCTTTAGATAAATGAGAACAAACGTTGTTCAGATTTTCACATAAATATATTTAAATGACTGCCGTTTCCGCGACACCGTGCCTTTTTTTTTTTTTTTTTTTTGATAAAGGCACGGTGTTGCCGAAACAGCTGTCATGTAAATTTGTTTGTAATTTATATATATATATATATATATATATATATATATATATATATATATATATATATATATATATACATATATATATATATATATATATATATATATATATATATATATATATATATATATATATATATATATATATATATATATATATATATATATATATATATATATATATATATATATATATATATATATATATATATATATATATATATATATATATATATATATATATATATATATATATATATATATAACGGATTTCTACGGTACGTGCCGCCTCTCCGTCCCCAGTTTCCATTTCTTTCTATCCAGACACATGTCTTCCTCTAGCCCTCTGGATGTCATAGCTTCATCTACCTCATTCCTCCAGCTTCTTCGAGGTCTTCCACGTTTTCTTTTCTCTACTGGTGCCCACTCGAGTAGGCGTTTGGGCCATCTTGTATCGTCCATTCTTTTCGTATGTCCAAACCATATCAGCTGTTTTTTCTCTATTTGTTCTATTATATTTGTGTTCATGTTCATGCTTTCCCTTATGGTGTCATTTCTTACTCTTTCCATTTTTGATTTTCTGCAGCTACGTCGTAAGAAGTCCATTTCCGTCGTCATCAATTTGTTTCTGTTCTTTTTTGTCATATCCCACGTTTCGGATCCGTATGTGATTATACTCTGGACGATGCTAGTGTATATCCGTTTTTTCGTTTCTTTTGTAATTGTTTTATCCCATAAGATCGAGTTCAACTCTCTTATAACCTTTTTACCTTTATTGGTTCTTTCCTTTATTTCATCGTCACTGCTGCCCTGCTTGTTAAGTGTAACTCCTAGATATTTACAAGTTTTTACACCTTTGAGTTTATGATTTTCTAATATTAGGTCTTCTTGATGTTCGTTCCCTACTATTATATATTCTGATTTTTCCCAATTTATTGTAAGGCCAGCAGATTGATATTCATCTTTCAGTTTTCGTATCATATAGTTGAGATCGTCCTGTTCTTCTGCTATGACTATCTGATCGTCCGCAAAATATAAACTGTACAATGGGTAGTCTCCCACTCTCAGTCCCATCTCACTAATCTTCCTACTCCATTTCTCTAAAGCCTTATCTAAGTATATCTTGAAAAGTGTAGGTGAGAGACAACAGCCCTGTCGTAAGCCTTTAGTGGTAAAGAATGCTTCAGTATAGTTTTTTCCATTTCTTACTCTAGTGGAATTATTTTTATATAGGTTTTTTATGGAGCTCCTTAAGTTATAGGGTATCTCTGCTTTTCCTAGGGTCATCCATAATTGCGACAATGGGATGCTATCGTACGCCTTTTCAAGGTCAATTAAGGCTATGTGCAATTCCCTATTTCTTTGTACTCTTTTTTCGCACGCTATTTTAATCGTAAAGATATTGTCCACAGTTGAGCGCCCTGTTCTAAAGCCTGCTTGTTCTTCTGGTTGTTTATCTTCTATAGCTTTCTCAACCAGATCTCGTATTATTTTTGAGTATATTCTACCTATTGTACATATCACTGCAATTCCGCGATAATTTTTAGGGCTGCTCTTGTCTCCTTTCTTATGTATAGGCGTTATATAAGAATTTCGCCAATCTGTGGGCAATTCTTCACCATTTATGCATCTCTCAAAAAGTTTAGCCAAGACCTCGAACAGTTCATTAGGGCCATATTTTAGAAATTCTGGGTATATTCCCCCTATGCCCGGTGCTTTTTTATTCTTAAGGTGTTTTGCTATTTTCTTCACATCTAGCTGTGTTATATATATCTTCTCATTTTCTCGTTCGATGACTTCCACCATATCGTTTGCAAATTCCGGCCTTTTTTCCTCTAATAGATATTTAAAGTGTGTTGTCCATTGTTGATTAGATATGTTATTTGGAAATGCACAATTGTTCTAATTTAACGATTTTAAATGGATTTTCATCAAGTAAAAGTAAAACAACAGAAATTTTCATTTAACACTATTAAAATAAGTTGGCTATAATTTTGTATAGCTACAATATACAAAATTTTCCATTTTTAACGATGGTACGCCTCCGATTTTGATTTTTTTGGTGATATGTCGGTTTTTGATGCGACGGCTTTTAAGGAAAAGTAAAAATTGCGTTTTTGTTTGAACACCGAACAGCACGTTGGGAACACTGTATATTGTTAATTGTTAATTATTAATATTTAAATACTTAAATTAAGTTTATTTGTTTAATCGATATTAGCAGCATACATTAAATTTAGAACGTATTTAGAAGGTATAATAGTGTTGTTATCGGAGTTCTTTCGTGAAAGCTGCAGTTGCGACGCATCGATCATTGAGTTGTGAGAACGAATAAAATTTATCGAACAGCCCAAGGCGTTTTATTTATTTTCCAACTTAATACAAACCTGCATTTGTTCTCGTGGATTCAAAGTAAACAGGAATCTCTCCTTATAACTAGGACTGCTCGTACTGCGATACACTCTGGTTTGTATGGTCGCCTCTTTATCGGGAAGCAACGAAACCCGGACGTATGTGTCCATATATCCGTCTTTTTTTACAACACCGTTGAGATCCTTGGCTTCGAGGACGTTTACGACGAAGTCCCAAGTTTCGCTGAAAATGATTTATGATGCGCCATCCAAAACTTTTCTCAGAATTCCTGATTGAAGTGGTTCGAGAAAAAATTTATCTGGAACAGCACTCAAATCAAGGAAAAATAAAGTATTGAATAGGTCAAATATGCAATTCATTCTGTATTTTGATAAATAATATTGTTTAAGTTTAAAAAACTGCGCGATTTTCGCTTAGGCCTTAGCGCTCAGTTGCCGTCTTACTAAATTTTTTGGGTTTAAAAGATATTTTGAAAAGTGTAATGCGCATTTTTTTTTTCATGTAGGTTTGGTTAGTCAGATTTCTTTTTTTAACAAAACATTACATTTTAAATAACAAGTGCGGTAATTATTGCAGGACGTGCAGGATCTTTGCTCATTTTTGATGCTGAAAATCAAAATAAGAGAATATTCGTTCGATAAATTTGGTGGCCGATGTGGATCGATGGAGGTTTGAAAATAAAACTTAATATTGTTTACGTTATTATATATTACTTTTCACTGTAAACATTTTTATGAAATTTTATACACAGCTTCTAATAATTACGGAGCATTTTTTATTTTTCAATAAATTTTGCCAGTGACCATAAAGTTTGAACTAAACATTTATAAAATGTAACTACGCACAATTTTCGTTTAAAACATGAAAATCAAAAAGAAATATGTTTCTGAAGTTCATTGAAACTGCTTTTCAAATTTTAATTTTAATTAATTTTCTACTTTGACCAGTGACGCCCATGTGAGCATAATATTGCAATATACAGAAAAAAATGCGAGTGAAAAGTAAATTTTTCAAAGGCTACTGTAATGCTTTTTACAAAACTTCTGGATTCCTCCTGCGTCGGTTTTTGTTTAGTCGAAATTGCTGACGTTTCGCCAATCATCCTGTTGGCTTCTTCAGAGCTTGACTGAAACTGGCTCGTATTTTACTCTCACAATCTTAACCGCGACTCAGGTCTCTACCTGTCACCAATTTGGGAATCAGTCATCCGAGACGGGGTATATACCCCTCATTAGCCCCCCACCCCCCTCAAACAATATATAAGCAGGTACAGAGCAAAATACGAGCCAGTTTCAGTCCAGCTTTGAATAAGCCAATTGGCGAAACGTCAGCAATTTCGACTCAGAAAAAACAGACGCAGGAGGAATCCAGAAGTTTTGTGAAAAGTTATTTTTATTAAAACTTTTACATCCTGCAGCTCACCAAATTAATTTTTATTCCTGAATTCATCCCATGATTCTTCTGTTTTGTCAAAATTGTCCGTTGTCAATATCTTTTTGACACCACATTTATTGAACACATGAACACTTAGCAACTAGGTATCAACTGTTACTCTATCAGGGATAATTTAGGGCACGCTCCGTATAGTTGGAACAAAATAAATAAAAGCCGATGATGGTTTAAGGAAAAAAACGTCTTCATTAATTTTGGACAAAAGATGAAGCTACGAAACTTCCGATGTTTATCGGGCTTTTACCTTCAAAGTGAAAAATAAAATACTAAATTACGTTTATTTTAGTTTGTTATAGGTTAGTTTGATCCTTCTTTTATAGCAGAGGCAGGATTTAATTATTGAAAAACCGTTCCCAAACCGAAAAACATTAGGTAATCCGCATACTAAACCGGCACGATTGAATGCATTTGAATCGCGAAGAAACTGATTTCTTTTATTTACGTAATTTAAAGTACGACCGATAAAATATTACCGCGCCTAATTTTTTTCCGTTTCTCCTTCTGCCTTCGGCAATCGCTCGCCCTCGAAATGATTGCAATGAAATTGCTTTACCTGTCGTACTCTAGGCCGATGCACAAATAACCGGTAATATTGAAAATTTCTAAATCACCCAACGCGACCGACGTATCTGAGCAGACGCTATCGCATGAAAGCGCCCTTTTCAACGCGTCGGAAATCACTTCGGGTTCGTCAAAACTCGATGAACTGCCTCCACCCTCGACGACTTTATCTGGAATTAAAGGAAAATTCATCAAAAGGAGCCAAGTTGGCGTACTCAAAAGGGCACAAACTCGGCATATTTCTTGTCTTTTCATGTTAGCACGACCCGTCGATTTTGTGATCGTAATATCCTTAAAACTCCATAATAATACCTATATAATAAATCAATTTTCGACAAAACGGTGAAATACCTTTTTGTTCTGGCTGTTGTTGGACCTGTTGAATGGCGGATAGTTTTTGCGGAGCGCTTTGGGTACGCGATACACTCCTGGACGTAGATGGCGGATTTGGCGGTGGGGGACTCAAACTAACCGGAAATGACGATTGCGATGCTAACGTTGCTACATTTACTGAACTAACCGGTCTCGGGATAGGAGATATTGACGTCGACTCAACCATAAGACCTTCGCTGAAGAGCATCGCAGATTAGTTTAGTAGTAGATTAACTTTCACCCTACTTACATTTAAGTAATAAAAGTTTGACAAAAAACATATAGACCGAGAGTTTGGGAATTAGCACAAGCCATTATTTGCCTTAAGAGGGATGAGCCACAAGCGCTATAACCACTATTCTTACCTAATATGCAGCTACCCTATTAAATTATGTGATCTCAATTCATTAACACCCTTCATATTTAAAATATTATCATTTAAAATATCATCATTTAAAACATTATCATATGATACTGAGACAAATTGTTATGTTAAAATTGTCGTCGTCGTTTGATTTCGATGATCTCTCGTGACTGATTCTTCGGCAACAATGTATTGGGTTGTTCGGAAAGTCATTTCGTTTTTTTTGGGGAACATGAAAGACAGTTTTCGTATAATGAATAAATATTTTATTAAATTATATATTGGCCATTCTGGTCCAACACCTTTTGCCATCTTTCTGGCAGTAACCTAATTCCCCTCTCATAAAAGTTTTGGTCCTTGCTGGCAAAAAACTGGTTCAGGTGGTTTTTGACATCTTCATTTGAGGTAAAGGTTTTGCCATCCAAAAAATTTTGCAGGGACCGGAACAAATAGTAGTCGGAAGGCGCCAGATCTGGAGAATATGGTGGATGTTGCAGTACGTCCCATTCAAGCTGTAAAAGTTTTTGGCGAGTGACCAAACTTGTGTGAGGTCTCGCATTATCCTGGTGGAACACTACACCCTTCCTGTTGATTAATTCGGGCCTCTTCTCTTTAAGTGAATCATTCAATTTGTCCAGTTGATGACAATAGACTTCTGAATTAATCGTTGTATTGTCCGGCAAAAGCTCAAAAAAAACGATTCCTTTGACATCCCACCAAACGGAGAGCATCACCTTTTTTTGGTGAATGTTGGCTTTTGACACGCTTTGAGCCGGTTCATCTTTTCCGCTCCATGACCTCTTGCGTTTAACATCGTTGTATACAACCCATTTTTCGTCCCCAGTAATAATCCGCTTCAAAAATGGATCATTTTCTTGACGTTTGAGGAGCGAATCACACACGTCAACGCGACGACACAAATTTCGCTCCGTAAGGACATGGGGCACCCACACATCGAGCTTCGAGGTTAAGCCCATGCCTTTCAAATGGCCATAAACAGTCGAATTCGACAAATTTAATCTCTCACCGATGTCTCGTGTGGTTATTCGCCGATTTGCATCAACTAATGCCTTTATCGCATCTTTGTCAGCTTCGACCGGCCTTCCAGACCGTGGTGCATCTTCGACATCAAAATTGCCGGATCGAAATTTTGCAAACCAGTTCTGGCACTGGCGTACTGTTAACACGCCTTCTCCATACACATCCGTCAATTTTTTTCTCGCTTGGACAGCATTTTTACCTTTTCTAAAGTAAAAAAGTAAAATATGACGAAAATGCTGCTTATTGCTCTCCATATTTAAAAGGGCACCAACCAAAAACTACTGCGTAGAATTAATAGAACTTTTTCACACACAAGCCTTGCAATATCAGCTCTCAAGACATATAATGGTTATGCGGCTTAAGTGTGAAGTTGGTTTCGAAAAAACGTAATTAAGTCCTCTGACGGGAAAAAACGAAATGACTTTCCGAACAACCTTATATGTCACGACTTCGATTTAGAATTTGATCTATATATGGATATTGTCATAATTTCTTCGGGTATATTACCCAGTTGAAGTTATTTTCAATTCCGTTTTAAAATTGTTTTATGCACATTATACTATATTTTTTTGGCACACCTTGTATAAAAAATAAATAAAAAAGTATTTTATATTAAATCTAACCAAAACTACAACTTCTGCAATACACTTTCTTTTCTTCTCACTCCCGTACCTATTAGTTTCTACTCTATTAAATACGAAAACCGATATCTCTCGTACTAAGCTGTTGATGTGAAGGCAGTAATAAAAGGATGCATCAACGTTTACGAAGTTCGAGATATTCAATAAAGCTGAAACATTGTAGCAATTTAGGAGCTTTTATTATACGAGAGTACCCATATACCGCTTCGACCTATCAGGAACATTGCAAAGCAAGTTGGGGAAATTTGTGTCGTGACAGATACAAGGTGGTGCACGGAATATTGTGGTGGGATATTACAAAGTTTTTGAAAATTTTCGGTTGTTGGGTTATATGAAGCTTTGTTATTATTATTTTTTTATTTTAAAATTAGTTTCATAATAATATAGCTTCTCCCAAAATCCCCGAAAATATGAAAACTCTTTTTTTTTAAATTGAAACCCCTATTTGAGACATTGGGGATTTTTGGTTGATTACGAATGACTTAATATTTATGAAGTGACTGTAAAAACTAACTGGGTAACCACCAAACACTGCATGTCATGTTGATCAGCTTGCTAGCGGCGGTTGAATAAATTAAATAATTCACGGTCACTTACTTTTGCGATTTTTTACAATGCGTAGTAGTAGTTGTTGTAGTACTAATAGTAGTAGTGTCTATACTATGGGCAGTTAGTAAACTTGTCGCCCCAGGTACTGGAGCTGGTCTCAAAGGTTGCGGGGGTATGATATCTTCTACATTCGTTTGCCATTCCGTCAAGCTCGTGGTAGCTACAGATATTTTAAAGTCCCTGTCGATCGAGTCAAACCTCTTAAAACTACCGCTGCTCCAGTCTAACTGGATATCTGAGTCGGAATGAACCTGCAAAAGAATTTTTATTGCTAGGAAATTCGTTTAATTCATTTTAAAATTCCACGAAAACGTATTAACAATACCTACGTTTTAGGGACTCTACCTTTTCTCAAAACCTATAAAAATTATCAAAAATGGAGATAAAAGTTGTTAGATTCACAAAATAATATATACCGGATGTTTGGATTTTCGTGAACAAGCAACAACTTTCTTATTTTAAACTGAATGTCCTGTATACCAAGGCATTTTTGAATCCTCGGAACGTTCCAAATATATTTTGTATATGTTATATAATGATAATATTTTTCTTTGATATAACTCGACAAGTCAAGGAAGTAATTACTAACTCCACACTATTTAGTGACAAAGCCAAATATTTTTTAACAATTATGAATCCACAACCGCCGAAATTATATTCTTTAGTTAAACTACATAAACAAGATATTCCCCTTAGACCAGTCGTGCCTTATGTAACAGCTCCAGCAGTTAAACTCTCTACAAAATTAGTAAATATTTTAAAGTTCCACACAGGTTTTAAATCAAAATTTTCAATACAAAATTCTTTTGAATTAATCAATAAAATTAAAGACTTCAAAATCCCTTCTAACGCAACAGTACTATCTTTTGATGTACAAAAACTTATTTCCCAGTATTCCACCTATGAATGAGTAGGTTTCACCCTAACTCGGAAGCAGGTTAACCCATTGGTGAAACAAGATTTATTGGATTGCTTGCTTGCGGCGTATCTTTAGACCAAAACTATTTTGAATTTAATGGACAAATTTAGTCCTTTGTTAGCCGAGATTTTTATGGATAATTTGGAAAATATCATACTAGAACATCCTTTAAGTAAAAGGTTTTTATTTTGGTATATATATGTGGATGATGTCTTTGCTTGCTTTGTTGGAACGGACAGGCAATTGAATTCTTTTTTAAATTACAAAAGTGCAAAACAAATTAGATTTTTCAATATATCATAAACCTTCACACACGGACACAGTCATACATAACAGCTCAAATCACCTTTATACACACAAAATGGCTGCATTTAACTCTTTTATACACAGACTTCTTAATACGCCACTCTCAACAGAAAATTACAACAAAGAACTTAATATCATTAAACAAGTTGCACTGAACAACGGCTACAATCCGTCCATTATAGATAAAATTATAAATAAAAAACAAATACAGACAACAGTAAACTCTATTTATCCGAAACCTAATACAGAACACGAACAATTTAAAACAATTACATACATAAGAGAACCTAGTAAAAAAGTTTCGAAACATTTGTCAAAATGTGGATTAAAAATAGCTTTTAGAACTAACAACACAATAGGAAAATATTTAAAAAACAATAAATCGAAATGTCCAAAATCCCAAAAATCAGGTGTCTACAGGTTGAACTGTGGATCTTGTCCTAAAATTTATATTGGACAAACAGGTAGATCCTTCAAGAAACGCATCAACGAACATAAAAGAGCTTTTAAAAGCAATAGTCTAGATTCTAATTATGCCTACAATTTTGATATTTTACATACAGTCACAAAAAGTAGAAAATTAAATGTATTGGAAGCCAATTAGATTTAAATACCTCTCTTTTATTGAACTTAAATTCTCACAACAACTTTAATTAAGGTTTTACGGTCATTTTTCGGTATATATAGTAGCAGGTGTTGTCGAAACAATTGTCACGTCATAATATATAATTTCGTGAAAATCTGAACTTTTAGTTCTTTTTTATTTTGATCGATTTATGTCTAATGGCAATCTAGCAGAATAAATGATAATCCCGGTAAAGGTTTGATATACTGGCCAGTAAACTCAACCACAATTTTCTTCTTTTTTAGATGCCAATCCATTCACTGGATGTTAGCGACCACATGCTGGAATCTGTATTTGTCTCTTGCGTTGTTTGGTCTTAGTCTTTCTAATATTTTTCGCCCATGACGGCTGCCTCTTGCCTTCTATCTTTCTTTCGTGTACGAGCTGTACGATGTTATACTTTTCATTTCGAATTATGTGGCCCAAGTAGGAGGTTTTCCTTTTATTTATGGAACCAAACAATTCTCTCTCCTTCTGCATCGTATTGAGCACTTCTTCATTTGTTACTCTATCGGTCCAGGGTATTTTCAAGAGACGTCTGTATGTTCACATTCCAAAGGCTTCTATTCTATTTATGCTGCTGGTTTTCATGGTCGACGCTTCTACGCCATGGAGCAAGACAGACCACACATAGCATTTGCGTAGCGCAAACAAATGTTGCATATGCTTTCCCTATTCTTGTTCTAATTTCCCTTGCAGGATTCCAATCTGCATGCAGCCAACAGCCATGATATTGTTTTTTTTACCCGTTCTATCAGTTGGTTTTCTACGCTGAGTATTGCTAATGATCATGAATTTAGTTTTCTTGGAATTGATGTTTCGACCATATCGCTTGCCGATTTCATTCAGTCGGGTGCACATGTCCTGTAACTCATTCATGTTGTTTACAAATAGTACGGAGTCGATATTGGGATTCCATTAAACTTTATTCCTTGTTCGGAGTTCTGAAACGTTTCATTAAAAATCTACATATTGAATAACAGTGGTAAGAGTACACATCCCGTCTCACTCCTCTACGTATACGAATGTCTTCGGTTCTGATGTTTTGTGTTTTTATACGTGCTCTTTGATACCAGTATAAGTTTTCTATATATCTGATATCTTTTTCATCCAAGTCTGTTTTTCGTAATATCTCAATGAGTTTTCTATATTGTACTCGGTCAACGGCTTTTTCGTTTTGGGTCAATACTTGTATGCTTCTCTGATGCCCATTGCAGCGTTAAACCCCAACTGATTTGTACTTATATTACGCTCGCCTTTTTTATGCCCTGTGTCATACATATAATTGAACTGTTTTCGAAGTAAAATGCTTTCATCATCCAAGAACTTCCATCTTTCCGCTGGTATACCGCCTGGCCCTGGTGCCTTGTTCTTCTTAGCTGATTCAATTACTTTCTTTATTTCCTCAGTAGTTATTGATTCACCTGATGGTGTTGAGTGTGTTGGATAATTTGTTAGTTCTGCTCGTGAGTTATCGGCGGATAATTTGTCAATGTAAATAGTCCAAAATTGCTTTTTACCTTCCTCTTCCATTATGATTACATTGTTCTAAGGCCTCAATTTCTTAGCTTTTCTTATTTCTTGTCACATCTGTGCACGTAGCCTTCTGTATGCTTCATTTTTTTTGTTTTTATATTTATTTCTTCTGTCATCCATCCCTTCTTATCCACCTTCCTTTTGAGACCGCGTTTCTCTGTTGTTGTGTTTTTCTTCAGCTTCTTTCCAGAGTTCTAGGGGTGATTGAGATGGGTTAATTATGCTTTTGATATTTTTATTTAATTCTCGTTGTAATTCAGTTTTAATTTCTTCTTGTGCCTAAGGTCTAATGCATTCGTTTCAAACTTTTTTCTTATTGTCTGAAGTTTCCACCCTCTCTCATGCTGATCCCTTCTTCTTCTCTTCCTTCTTGGTGGAAGGAAAACCCATGCATTGGATATTTTGAAGTTTCATTCCTGACAAAATTGAATCAGTCTGTCACCTCTGACGTTTCTTTCTCCAAGACCAAAGGAACCCACCACGCTTTCTATCGTCTCACCCTTTCCGATTTTGGCGTTGAAATCTTCCTGGATGATATTAAGCTCATTTGCCTTAGTTGTCTTTCTAAGATTTTTGATATCATCGTATCTCTTCATCTGGCTTGTCTATAGTTGGGACGTAGACTTGAATTATGTATATGCTGATGAATTTGGCCTGTATCTTGAGCATTAGGATTCTGTCTGAGCAGGGTATAAAGTTAGTCACACTTTTTTTTGTATTTTTGTCAACTATGATACCGACGCCGTTTCTATGCTCCATCCAAATCCTGACCATCAAGTTTGCGCATTTCTTTAACGGCGTTAGCCAATTTTCCAGCTTCAAATAAGGTTTTGCTGGAGACTGAGGGCCATTTGTTTCTGTCGTCTTCCATGTGGTTTTCTTGGGATGATACTTCAATGGTTTTCCGTTGCCTTCTGGAGGACTTTATTTTCTCAGCCTCGAAGGAATGGTTATACCGCAATGACTAGGTCGTCAGAGCCTCGTTTGTGTTAGCAGACTGTACCGTGAGCAGGTGAGGTTGACCTTTGAGAAGGAGAGTTTATATGAGTCGCTTCGCTTCCCCATTGTATCATACGACCACTACATGATACATACACCCTCAACCACAACTGCCGTCTCCAAATTTCCAATCAAGTGATTTGTATTACAAAATTCATACAACTATTCATTCAATATAGAAAAATATTGCCGCGTCTTTTTTAAACACCCTGTACATAATAGATATAATATAATAAATTACAGGTGGCCCCATTCGTATAACGCATAACGTACTTTTTCATATTTTGCAAAAATTTGGTATTGGTAAGTCGTACCCAAAATTTCAGATTTTTACCTAAAATGGTTGACCACAACACCATTTTTAAATGCCTTTTTTCATTCTTCATATACCGGATTCTCCAGTAAGGACAACAAGGTACGGTATTGTACTGAAGTGGCTTTTACTTGATGAAAATCCGTTTAGAATCGTTAAATAAGAACGTTGTTCAGATTTTCACATAAATATATGTAAATAACAGCTGTTTCGACAACAGTATTTGATAAAGGTACGGTATTGGCGAAACGGATAATCATCGAAATTTGAAAAAAATATTTGTGATCTTGATTGTTTTCTACAGAAATGTTTAATATAGTTAAAATAAGTACTATTTTAAAACTGAGACAAATTCAAATCTTTTCTGCATAATACCAATTTTCAATGAAAAATAAATTAACTGAAAACGAGCAAGGATATCAACACCTTTACCTAATAGGTAATTTTGTTCGCTTCGAAGGTATCGTAAAAAAATTACTAAATAAAATAATTAACAAAATTTTATTTTGATTTTACACATCATTTGTCAATTTAGATAATAAATTTTGCGTTATTTGGTTAATTCGGTATAACTAATAACCGGTAAAGAGGAACAAAATTGCTTACGAGTCTACCTGGTGACAAAGTAAGCAACAGTGTTGGCATAGCCCCTATGAAAAGTCTATTTTAACGGTACTCCGTATTAGAGTATTCTCGTTAGTTTTGCCAGTGACCCGGTTCGAGGGTCCAGTATGTTAGAAAGTTATTTGAATAACCAAATCACTATTATCGAACTAATATCTAATATTGAATACTCTATGCGGCGGGCTCCCGATTACCACGGTAAATCCGCATTGTTATACGCGGCATAAGGATTTCCACTTAATTTAGTTTCGGACGCGAATTTCCCTAACAAAGTTAGCACCATTAAATGATACAAACTCAATCAGAAAATATATCATCGTAAAATCACTTTATACCCTGTGCCGAACACGCTAACTCGGTTAGCGAAACGTACGCCCGCATCACGTCAATTAATTGGTCGTGGTGTAGTTGCGGGCTTCAGCTCACCACCTTCGATATCGACGTGTGACAAAAGGGGCGTTCGGTAAAAATTCGCCGCCCACGTTGAGCCCGTTTTGCGATAAAGTCCGCCAATTTTAGGAATTGCTTTGCATAAATGGATAATTGCATAAATGGAAGAAAGAAAGAAATAGTTATTTTCGATAATCACAAGGAAGTGGCGAGTAGAGCAGCGTAGTAGTAGTCGAGCGAGTGGGCGAGCGACACTTCCGATTCGTTGGGCTATTCAAAAAAGGTTCCGCTTATTTCTACTAAATTTAACTTAAATAATTAAATTAAATTAAATAATTAAATTTAACTTAAATAATTTACAATATTTTCGAGGTAGCGTGTGTGTAACCCCCCTTCAGTGGCGTTACTGTAGAACATATTTAGAAAATTAGCGAAAACTTTTTTAAAATAACCTGCATAGAACACAGTCACCTTACCTTTCCCCATCAAATTTACTCGAACAGAAATTTGTATTGAAATAAGAAGTTTGATAAGCTAATATCCATTTAACATTATCGATTTTTTCGTGGATTTTTAAAGTATTTTTGTTATTTAGTCGAACTATGAACCACTAAACTGATTCTGATCGTATAACAATTATTATAAATAATGGAAATGTCAAGTAGTAGTCTCAGTCTGGAGCTTTACAAAATTGCAATGGGGCAATTTTATTGCCGGCTTTCGACTGAAACTCGGATGTGGGGAAGCACTCACCAAGTATCCGTTGGCATTATAATGACCTTTCAGCCGGGTAAGACCCACTTTTTCTTCTTTATTCGAGGTTATCCATGCGTTTATCCAGCTTATTAGGTTGAAAGAGTGGTAAAACGCGAAAGAAATCAATAGTGCAATTGCTATCAGGGATAGAATGATGATTGCTAGTTGGACGTTTCCCATCTGAAACATGAAAAATGAACTTGAATTATGTTTAGCGATTTTTACAAATTTTCATGTTTTTGGTTTCGCAATCTCAAAATACTTTTCTTCCTAGAAACATGTCTTCTTGTGTCCTGTATAATAAAAGACTTAAAAAGTTTACTGAACGTGTTGCATACTATAGTTTTTCTACGACCGTTAGTTTTTGCGTACATTTTCGCAAAACAACACGAATACATTCACTGACATGACCGTCAGATTTAACAAAAGTCAAATTCAAGGCGATTGCTCCCAAACCCGTGCGGTAAAATCCCGAAAATGTCCGAAGTCGTTCGGATCCGTGGAAAACGGAGCTGACGCGGTAAAGTGACCCTTTCCGCACGCCAGATCGTGCGTATTTACGGTGTGTATTTTACTCCCGTCTGTAAAACGTCTAATTACACACCGATCTAGAGTGCGGAAGGCGTCACTTTACCACGACAGCTTCGTTTCCCACGGATCCGAGCCACTCCGGACATTTCCGGGATTTTACCGCACGGGTTTGGCAACAATCGGATGATTTTGACGTTTGTCACTTCTGACGGTCATGTCATTGAATGTATTCGTGTTGTTTTGCGAAAATGTACCCAAAAACTAACGGTAGTAGACAAAGTATAGTATGCAACACGTTCGGTCAGCTTTTTAAGTCACTCGTTTATTAAGCACTCGCTCCGCTAGTGTCAAATAAACTCGTGAGTCAAATGCCGTTTACCGCACTTGTTGCGTAACATACGACGTTATAAAATACTGTAATAATAATATTTAAAGCAAGCAAGTGATTTATGAAACCGCCTAATAAGCGTTTTGGGATAATGCTATGTTAAATACATAATACCAAAATGATGTGTTGCTCCTGGAATTTTCCAACAGACTCGCGAGTCACACACCGGAATGTTCGCCATGCTGGAGCTACTTGGAATATTTTGTGTTCAACTCTTATTTAATGTATTACACTTCTTGTTTTTTTTTTGTAATGTTTTACTTTAATAATCATATAAGTATTTTTTGTAAACTTGCGAACTTGATTGATATTTAATACAACTTTTTAAAGATATTGAAAGATACCGTGTACTAAACTCCTATATTTAAATTTTGTATGCGTTATTCAAAATTACATACAAGCATACCGAAATATTGAAAAAACTCGGTTATAGACGAAATGAAGTTAGCGGTTTACAGATATGTTGTAACAAATCGTGTTCCTAGTTATTCCTTGTATTTATTTGATTAAAATGGAAAATCAATCTTAAACTAAATTATGTAGAACAAGTTCTTCTTTGAATTCAATTGTTATAAGGGTTTTTTCATTTTATTGCCTATAGTTGCGCCTGAGAGTCTATTTGATAATGAATACATATTGTATTTTATATATACTTCGAAACTAACATATTGAGAAGAGGGTATATGTGAAAAAAGTTGCTTTTACTCACCTCAGTCGCAATTTACGCGAGAAAATAACATCTACTTCCACCACTATTTATAAACAATCCCACTTTGCCACAGTTGATATTTTCCGCAAACAATATCATCGCGCCAGAGCCTACGACGTATTACAAATTATTTCATAAACTTAATCCATGGTTGTTTAATTGAAGCAAATGTGTGCGTGTGTCAAAAGCGGGTTTGCGAATGATTGTGTACACGAAATTTCTAATGTCCAGAACGTCACATTGCGGGGATGATTCTGCCACTAAGAGAGAGAAGAGAGAAACATTAAGGGGCGGTTTCCTAAAGGACACCCAAGTTGAAGGCTCTCAGAATGAAGTCATTAGAGGTGACATCAATAATAGCGGTTATAGGCAAAGCTGATGGACTGTTATTATTATTATTATACTAAAATAATACGCAAAATTTGTTATTCTGACGAAACTCGTAACCTACGGCATCCACCACTGTGTCAATATTCAACTCATTCATAAAGTTTCACTTTTGTAGTGCCATTTAAATTCGACCCTCTGAATATTGTAGACTTTTCGGATGGGAAAAGGAAGAAAAGAATCTAAAATTGTACCTGGATTATTTTATCAGAAATTTAAAGGCATATGTAAGAAATTGACATTTATTAATAATTACAGCTATATTTATTTTTAAATATACGTATGAACATCATATCAATAGATATAAATTCGATTATAAATGCGATATCAGTCTATTTCCGATTTAAGCCCCCGAGTAAACACAAACTATAACTTGCCAACACGTGCAGATGGAGACCACAAATAACAATCGATACAACCATATAGCTACTAGATAATATAGCGGCCCTACTACCGCAAAAAATTGAAAATTAGTGATTCATCTCACGGTTTCCGAGCACGACTTTTTTAAAGTAGTGCAAATCATTTTTCTTACTATTCCTTCTACTTCAAGTCATAAGCATGCCTTTAAATTTAGTGTCTTTTGGCAATATTCTTGGATCATAGGCACACTCATGCGCGATGGTTTCATGTCCGATTGTGATACTCATCGAGCTTTGATCATAAATATTCAATACTACTCATAATAAATTTTCTGGTAAATTAGGAAGCGCTTCTGTGCTTTTTTATCTCTCCGAAAACGTATATTAATTATTCAACTGAATGGTAGATTTACTGGGTTATCATTTATGAAAAAAATAGGATTTGCTGGGTATCTAACTTAAAAGGTGTAGGTCGACTAACATCTATTAGATTGATCTCTATAAACTTCGAAGAAAAGTAAACGTACTAAATCAGATCCGAAGCGACCTCTGCTGGTATGCGTCGGCAACTTAGACAATCGATGTGAACTGAAAAGGGTGGTATAGAGGTAAATCGGATCACAACGTTCACCGAAAAAGATGTATATAACAACGACTGCATTACAAAATAAAGTGGTTGTTCCAGAATAACATGCGGAACCCTAAGGGTATCAAATCTTAACATTTGAACTACGACGGGCGTTAAGGTTTAATCATATAGTTAACATATCGGGCTTAGTAAAAATTACCACAACTACCAGATATTGAATGCCGGGAGGTTTATGAACAATGCTAACGGCCATGTTGTCCGATTTCGCTATGATATTTTGAATTCTGGTAACCTTGCACTGATGCCCTTCTAAAATTTGTTATGTTCAAAACCCCCAAAATTCTGAATTGTTTATAATTTTTTATTGACAGTGGTAAATCTGACAATATTGCTGTTAGCTTAATTGAATTTTGTCGATCCAGCTTTAGCAGTTTTGGGGTTATTTAGGCGTTCCGTTACTTTTTGCTGTTGCCGTAGCTCGATGATTAACAAAAACAAAAAATTGACAAAATTACGACGTGTGACGTTTAAGTAGTAAATCTGACAACACTGCTGTTGCATTTTTGAATTCTGCATGTTCAAAAACCCTCAGGTACTTTTTACTAACCCGGTATATTCGGAAACTTAGTGGTCACAAAGACAAAAAAATTGATGGACCTCAGTCATGTTTTCGTGAGGGCGCATGCGCCAAATTCTTTCTATGCAGACATCTCCACACATTTAACTCGTTGTTTCCTGAACATTTGACTAGATCTGGGCATAGACTGAGAAAATGCTGCTGTCAAAATGCCGCACCGAAACTGAAAACTGTCGAGTTGACTTACAGGTTCAGAACGAGTTTTCATTTGACCGCGTGTGCGCATACTCAATGGCCATTTTTAACATTTCTTTCATGGTCGCTCGTGTTATCAGCAGGGCATTTATATTTCTAGAACTATGTGCGTTTTGACAAAAACATGTTTTACTTAAAATACAAACAAATCGAAAAAAAGCATTAAATGGTGTATGATATCGGGCTCGTCCACTGGAAACCACATTAAGAAATGGCCGTACTTGAATATGTCTACTCCCATACACAACCCTAATTATTAATGAATAAAAAAAGATAATGTTAAGTAAACGGATGAAGCTGTCCAAAAGTAGAAATATCAGATACGCGGAAATTTGGCATCGTAAAAAGGTAAGACAAAGATAGAAATAAATAAGAACTAAACAGATGTTCACGGAATTATATATTATGACATGACAATTGTTTCGACAACACCGTATCGTTATCAAATGTAATATTTACAAACTACCTGCTACTATATATACCGAAAAATGACCGTAAAACCTTAATTAATGTTGTTGTGAGAATTTAAGTTCAATAAAGGAGAGGTATTTAAATCTAATTGGCTTCCAATACATTTAATTTTCTACTTTTTGTGACGGTATGTAAAATATCAAAATTGTCGGCATAATTAGAATCTAGACTATTGCTTTTAAAAGCTCTTTTATGTTCGTTAATGCGTTTCTTGAAGGATCTACCTGTTTGTCCAATACAAATTTTAGGACAAGATCCGCATTTCAACCTGTAGACATCTGATTTTTAAGATTTTGGACATTACGTTTTATTGTTTTTTAAAAATTTTCTTATTGTGTTATTAGTCCTGAAATTAATTTTTAAACCACATTTTGACAAATGTTTTGAAACTTTTTCACTAGGTTGTTTCATGTATGTAATTCTTTTAAATTGTTCGTATTCTGTATTAGGTTTCGGATAAATAGAGTTTACTGTTGTCTGTATTTGTTTTTTATTTATAATTTTATCGATAATGGACGGATTGTAGCCGTTGTTCAGTGCAATTTGTTTAATGATATTAAGTTCTTTGTTGTAATTTTCTGTTGAGGGTGGCGTATTACGAAGTCGCTGTATAAAAGAGTTAAATGCAGAGTTATCCTGTTCAATCTCGATAGTGAATTTTATACGATTATGTAATGAGTTAATGTAATTTAAAAAATAATTCAATTGTCTGTCCGTTCCAACAAAGCAAGCAAAGACATCATCCACGTGCTTTTTACAAAACTTCTGGATTCCTCCTGCGTCGGTTCTTGCTTAGTCGAAATTGCTGACGTTTCGCCAATCATCCTGTTGGCTTCTTCAGAGCTTGACTGAAACAGTTTCCTGAGGATGTCGTGGACGGAAAGGGTCTGAAGTGCTGAGGTGCACGGAAGGATGGGATGTGAACCGGAAATTCTGGTGACAATCAAAAAACGAAAACTTGAATACATTTGTGGCCCGAGATATGGCTTGCTACAATTAATTATTCAGGGAAATATCCGAGAAAAAAGAAGTGTGGGAAGGCGAAAAATATCCTGGCTGAGAAATCTGAGGGATTGGTTCGGATGTAGCAGCACCGAGCTGTTTAGAGCGGCTGTCAACAGGGTCCGCATTGCCATGATGGTTTCCAACCTTCGATAGAAGATGGAATTTTAAGAAGAAGCCTGTGGAAGTTTCTTTGAAAAAAAAAGTCATCCACGTATCTATACCACCATAGAAAACTTTTGCTTAAAGGATGTTCTAGTATGATATTTTCCAAATTATCCATAAAAATCTCGGCTAACAAAGGACTAAGTGGGTTTCCCATTATCAAACCTTCCTTAGAGATGTAAATCTGTCCATTAAATTCAAAATAATTTTGGTCTAAAGATACTATTAAGCAATCTAATAAATTTTGTTTCACTAATGGGTTAACCTGTTTCCGAGTTAGGGTCAAATCTACTAAATATATCCATAGGTGGAATACTGGGAAATAAGTTTTGTGCATCAAAAGACAATAGTGTTGCGTTAGAAGGGATTTTGATATCTTTAATTTTGCTGATTAATTCAAAAGAATTTTTTATTGCAAATATTGGTTAGTTTAGTTAGTTAGTGTGGAGTTAGTAATTACTTCCTTGACTTGTCTTTGATGTAACTCGGTAGGATCATGTTTGATACATTGAAAAAGTTCTGGTTTATGAAAATTGTTGGTTTTTAAAATATATTCTGGGAGATCGATAGCTATGACTGTCTTCCCTTTATCTGCACGTGTAAATATTATGTTATTTTCAGAAGCTTTGTTTTTGATAGTTTTAACTAGTGACATTTGAGAAATTTCTTTGTGTTTGTTGTTATCTATTAATTGAGAGTTTATTATATTCGCTAATACATGTTTGTTTAAATTACAATAGTTAATGTCCTTAATTGCTAATTTACAATCGATCCCTAAACAGTCTAATTCTTTATTAACGTACGAGTGATGTAAGTTAAAGTTGAAACCTTTTTCCAGAAATTCAACTTCCTTTTTAGAAAATGTTGTGTCTATTAAGTTTACAAACCTGTTGTAAAATTGTTGGTCGGTATACTTTGTAATAACTGGCTCGTTGTTAGATATTTTTGTATTAGAAATTATTTTGTCTAACTTTACTTTTTGTCTAAGAAACATTTTGTGAATGATAGATGAAACGTCTGTTCGAACTCTATAATCAAATGTGCCAAATTCTAGGGGATTAAGTCTATGAGACAATTCAGAATACATAAACAACGGGACACAAACAACATTACATAAATGTTGTTTGTGTCCCGTTTTCTGTACTCGTGTCCTCGTTCTTCCTTCATCCATTTCGTCTGGCCTTGTATCTTGGCTTTCCTTGCAGCGGGACTTCTGTTGTTGGTAATTTTATGAACTTGGGAAAAACCTTATTTTGCAGATGTTTGTTAAAAAACCAAATGTTTTGGGAACATATTCGGCAACGTTGAAGCAATTTGAAGTACCAAATAGCCAGGAAACCATTCAATCCAGTACTTTGGGACGAGACTTGGATATTTAGTAAAGGACCACCTAGAAAATGCTGGCAAGACGATTCTCTACAAACAGTTCGGAAAAATACAGTGAATGAATGAATGAATGAATACAGAGATAAAAGTGTTAGTTTTGTACCCACGGAAACTGTAATTTCCTCAATACTAATATGCTTTGCGGAAAAATAACTTAATTTATTTTATTTTAAAAGTTCGTCCAGTCAACGGCTGTTGCCCAGTCTTAGTGAATCTTCATTAATATTAATAGACAATTTAGCATGGACAAGACAATTTAATACGATAGAGACGGTTTGATCAGATTGTGATGCCAAAATACTTCTGGTGGAGTATTCATAACACTTTGTTTCAGGTTTCACGCAAAAAATGGAAAAACTATTGTAGACACGCAGATCGCCGGATAACTGAGACTTGGAAAAGCGAAAAGTTGATCTATACATCTGACATTCTCTCAGTGGTTGTTATCAATATGCATGAATCAGACTCAGGGGAAGATATTTTTTCCGACGATGACTAGTTTTTGTTCCCCTTCTGTGCTCTTTGTGTAATGGGTTTTCGTCGTTTTTCTTATTGAAATATTGGAAGTTTTTCAAAAATAAACCTAATCTAATCGATATTCGTTTTCTCCCATATATAAATGCGCCACTGAACTAAGTTGCCATAACTGTATTATAATAAAATAGTAATATGTGATTTTTGCAAATGAAATATAATTTTAATGTAGCTTTTATGATTTCGTATTCGAACGTACTTACTTTAAACTCATTAATTAATTAAAATCGGTACGCATCTAAAAATGGTAGCATTATAGCTCAGACATACGGACATGAGTGCATAACTGCTTTGACTAGAGTTTAGCACGGCCTAGAAAAAGCTCTTTTAAATAACTCTAAATTTATTAAAATGCGGTAAACCTTTTAGGAGATACGGACATTCATCTAAGAGAACACCTTCCATCACTTCCTTTGCAGAGATAGGCTAGAGCAAACAGCATATTAAAACCAAAATATGACAGGTAGAAATAAGTGATCATATTGTTTAAACCACTTCATCGATGAAATATTTCAAAAAGAAATTAAAATTCTTAAAATCTAAACAAAATATTTCTTAATTTTGGAATTGAAATTTTACAATTCCTCATATTGTAATTAAAAAAATCTGCAGCGGACGGTGGGTTATCTTTAGCAAGAAAAATCAGTGCAGTTGCATAAAATAAACAGATTCATGGCAGAGGCCTAATTCACTGTTGACCTAGCTCGCAATACTGAATGCTAATGTCAATCAATGTCATTTTTAAAAATGAAAAAATTTTCGTAAAAAAAATCACTTCAATCATGGCAAAAGCGCTGCTACTGAGACACTCGGAAGAACAGACATTTGCAGCAAGAGGATATCGTCTAGTAAAAAAACTGGGAGAAGGCAAGGAAGGGCGAAAAGGACATAACTAAAATTATTAGTAAATTGTGTTACTAAAAATAAAATAATTTAACGCGGTCATTTATAATACCTACTTGTTAGAATTGTTTTTTAAGGTTCCTGTGCGTACGTCTATTTAGCAGAGTTCGCCTCAGGTCAAGACGACAAACAGAAGTTGCTCGCGTGCAAAGTGGTAGACGTATCGAAAGCGCCAAAAGATTTCGTGAAAAAGTTTTTGCCGAGGGAATTGGACATTTTAATTCGAATCAATCATCCCCATATCATACACATCCACAGCATTTTTCAGAGAAAAACCAAATACTTCATCTTTATGAGACATGCTGAGAACGGTGATTTGTTGGAATACATTCTGAAAAAGGTTTGTTCCGAGAAAATTCAATTAAAAAAATATTTTTTTTAAGACTTTATCCAGAGATTATATTTTTTGTTTCGTTGTTATTGCGGGGTATGGTCTGTTCATAGATACAAGAAAGTGACCAATTGCTTTTGAACGGATTATCCAAGGGTGGTCATTAATATACAATGCAACAAGATTATTACCTTAATTAATAATTAATTTAATTAATAATTACCTTAATTCATAATAATAATCATCTTGTTCCGTTCAAAAGCAATTGGTCACTTACTTATATCTTTTAAAACATCCTAGCTAGATTTGTTTTTGGGGTACAGGATGGAACAGCGAATTTAGCCATTACAGTCACTCTTAAATACCGTCATGAGATTTTTTTTTATAAAATATACCATTTTTATGATACGAGCTAAAATTATGTATTTTTAAAATGGAGACCCTGTGCATTTTTTAAAATTTGATTTATTGAGAATTTTTTTGATATTTTTTGCATAATTTGCAAACTCTCTGTTTTTAGGCATTTGCGAGCGGTTTGCTGCTTGTAACGAAAGTAAAATATTTCCCTAAGAATTGTAAGATATTACTTTTTTTTAACTAACTTCATATATTGAACAGAAATTATGTTTTTAACAAAAACGTGCAAGGAGCTTTTTCTTCAATATAACTTTTTTTTAATTTAAAAGATCCAATTTCTTTACCGATCGTCTTTTTTAAATGTCTGGAGGCAGCTTGGTCTTTTTCTTCCTTTGCCCCCCAACTCGTACCCTTACAAACAGTGTCGAAATACCTAATTGAGATTTTTGTAACATTTTAACTTTTCATTTTTAATTATCATTTCAGTATGTGCTGTTTTTATAGTACCTCAATTTGGCATAAGAAAACATTCATAAAAACATAACCCTACAATTTACAGGGTCCGGTGTCAGAATCCCAAGCCAGAGTCTGGATCAGACAACTTGCCTTAGCCGTGCAATATCTGCACAGCATGGATATCGCACACAGAGATCTTAAATGTGAAAATTGCCTGATATCTGCTAATTTTAACTTAAAACTGACAGATTTTGGCTTCGCCAAATTCATAACAGACTCGCAAGGAAGACCAAAATTAAGCAACACGTATTGCGGCTCTCTGTCATATGCCGCGCCGGAGGTTTTGAGAGGAATACCCTATCAACCCAAGATTGCAGATATGTGGTTCGTAGATACTTTAAAAACCCGAATATTAACAAGATATGAAGAGCATGCGTTTAAAATTTACGTCTTATTGTCTCCTATTGTCTCGGCGGTTATTATAGTATATATACCTATACAGGCCAATAACACAAGTAATATTGTTACGAACATATAGCTATTAGAAATATATGGGCCTTCCCCAAGCTGATAATACGGGACCTTATGAAGAAACTATGAAAAAAAATCAGAAGGTTCATTCAACATGCGCATGCCCGATATTTAAAATTTCGTTTTTAACAATCAATAACTTTGTATACGGCATTATTATCTCAAAATATGCCTACATCTCGTTAAATGTTCTAGGACAAAGAGTTAAGTGTGTGGAAATCGCTGTTTAGTAAGAAAATGGCGCCAAGTGCAGGTCAGTGGGTGAAATGTAGAGGCATGCGCGGAAAATCAATACATTCTTTACGAAAGTATCAATGCCGTTTTTACCATAGTAGGGCCACTATATTAACTAATAGCTATATTGTTACGAACATAAAAAACCCGTCGGATAAATATTCAGTTTGCGCATGCGCAAGTCGTTTTAAACGTTGCGTCGCTTTCAATAATTCAAAAATGGCCGCCGACAATTCGTCAGATGGTTTGCGTTTTGTGTGATGTGATCGATTTTAAATTTAATAGGAAACTACTAAAATTTTAGGACGGCAATTAATAGCTCGATTGATTTACTGTTTTATAGGGGCAAAACGTTTATTAACCAAAATTTTTTCGTAGTCATGACTTCGAGTCTTCCATTTTCAATTTAAATGTAAGCTAGTATACAGAGGAAAAACTACCAGGAACTTTAGCAACCATTTTAAAAAGCCGCTTTTTTTGATTTGAAGATTTCAAGAAAAAATTCGCCGAAACGTCCAAAAAAATTGTTTTCACTCAAAATTTGCTGTTTATATGTAGGTCCGTTGGAGTTATAATTTATGTAGCTATCAACAAAGCTATGCCTTTTGACGACAGCGACGTCAAAAGGTTACACGAGCAACAAATGAATCGAAAGTGGAAATTTAGATCAAAAGTTGCAGACTCTCTATCTGACCAGGTAAGCGACAAAAATTTAGTAGTAAATTTAGTTACCTGCGCATAAAAAAAAAAGATATCCAGTTATTAGAGTAATTCAAATCAAATTTTTCTTGGTTCAGGTTAAATTACTAATTCGTTACTTACTGGAGCCTGACACAAAAAAGAGATTACAGATTGACAACGTAATAAAAAGTGATTGGTTCGCAATGGATCATAGATTTAAAACACTCAATAACATTGAAGAAGCGGCCCTTGCACAGGCGATTGCACAAAGAAAAAATTTTATTGAAGGTCTCTATGATTTATTTGTTGTTTAATTATTCAAATCCCTTCAATTGTCTGTAATATTTCGCAGGACTTGCTAAAAAAAAGGATAGAAAAAGTACTATGGTAACAGAGGAGGTAAAAGTGCTGAAGCCAACAACTCATGTTGATACTAAAATCACAAGCCAGGTTATTGAAAGCATGCTGACGGTACCCAAAATGAAAGAAGCTGTTGTTTAATAAGCACAGGAATAAATGTATTTCTTTATTAATTACAGAGATAATTTATTTTATTTATTTATTTCCACATTCTACATGTAAAAGTTAAAGTAACATTAGCTACCCATATCTGTTTTGAAATTTTCCAGGGCCTCATCAAATTTGCTTAATGTTATATCACAAATATTCATTAAATCTTCAAGACCCCTCTTTAATGTATTAACAGCTTTTCCTTGACGCATTTGAATCCTAAAGTGCATTTTATTTTCAGCTGGGTGGGGGACTGTATAACCACAAAACTGAACTTCTGGACTAAAAAAGGTACAAAAAAATACATCACACTTAAATAACCACAAAACTGAACTTCTGGACTAAAAAAGGTACAAAAAAATGCATCACACTTCAAGGAATCCAAAAAATGAAGAAATATAAAATGTTGGAGTGCACCTAATTGTGAAACAGTTGTGATTCTGAAATGCATTAGTAATAGCTTTCTCCAGTGTTCTATGCACATAAAAGCTTTATGAAAATAATTTAAAAGCGAGTTTATTGCGACTTACTAGCTAGAAATCACACATCTTAATGCATTGCCCAATGTGTGACCCTCTCCCTGGAAGACAAAAGTTTTTGATGACTCATTAGAAGCCTCGTTCCCTGCTAACTAAAGTATAAAAAACTAAGTAATAAATAAATTTAGTTCAAATATAAAACTTGCCTCTGCCACTGGCATCTTATTTGTTTAAACTTAATCGTAAGCTTTGGTTAGTTTGTTTGCTTATTATGGATCGTCTTTCGTGAGAGGACTCCACAAATATACTTAAACTTTGGTTATGAGCATGAATAACTTCTTATTTTTGCGCCACGTGGGCACATCTACGAGGCACAGCCTGGACAGCAGAGACACATTAATTTTGACATTGAATAAATGAATCGAATTCAATAAATTGGTGCCTCAAGGACTGAAGGGAGAGGTTTTATAAGTTTGAATGATTTTATATTAATGGACTCGTCTGGTCTGTGCTGCATATTTGCAGTTTTTATAAGTTTATAACGTCTGATCTCTGCGGCATATGTTATTGATAGAAAATGTATTACTGTATTAATGGGTTTGTTGGAGTTTAAGTTTGTAACGATTTTTTATTAAGGGACTCGTCTAGTCTCTGCTGCATATAATGTTATTGATAGAAAATGTGTTACTGTATTAATTGTCTAACAAAATCTTACCAAAATTGGTTGCATTTCTTTGTTTGGTCATATTTTTTATTAAGAAGTCAACTGTTCTGTTTAGGTTTACAGAATTTTTCATTATGAGTTACAGAAGGAAAAGCAATTTAAATGAAATAACGTTGGAGTATTCTCCCAATATCCACAAAGAAAATGATAACACATTTATTAGTTTTTCTATAATAATAACTACAAAAATAAGTTTCAAGTTTCTTGTTTCTTCCCGAATGGATTCATTTTATGGATCCATGATGCTGCTAAGCTAGATTCACTGAAATAAGTAAAAATAAATGAATCAATCATATTACTAGCATGAAATTTGAATATACATTATTCACATAAAAAAAAATTGTTTATACCTTGGCGGTGAACTATGTTCAGATTGATTTGTTTTTTCTGCTCTTAACTTTTGCAATAACTCAACACGATAAATTTGTTTAAGTGGTATTGCCTTTTCTTCTTCCATCTGTTTTTCTAGCTTTTTGCAGGCCTGGGTCAAAGAGTAACCGTACCAATCAATTTCCTCTGCTGTATACTAAAATTTTGTAATTAATGAGTAAATAAACGTTAACTTTGTTTGATTGACTTACAGCTTTCAAATATTGTTCATATTTCTTTAATACTTCATTTTGAATTTCTGGTTTTTCTTTATAGGCTGGACAACCTGCTTGTAGAGCTTTTAGAATATGTCGTTTCAGTCCTAATGGCAAAAGTGATCTTAAATCACATGCTGGCGTCTTGAAACAAATTAAATTTATTAGTAAGTAAAAAAATAAAATAAACTATATATTAAATATATAATAAATATAAATATTACCTTTAACAAATAATGATCAAAACCATAGTTCGCATTTATTAGATTTATTGCCCTTTCAGTGACAACTACAGAAAAATATTTGTTTAAAACTTCACTGTATACCACAGAACGTCTTAGAGTTGGAACCCAAAAGTGAGGCACTCTTCTGGCCTGTTCTTTGGTTTTTCTAAAGCCTTGTATGATTCCTTCACCACCCCAGATATGATGATCATGTTCTTTTGGAAAAATGAGAGGAATTGGTCTGTTTTCAATGGGTGATCTGCAAAATGATATAAGAAATTTTTTAGTTGTTTCCACTTCGGGTATAACAACTTTGCTATCAACCAGAAATTGTTAAGAGGAAATAATTATGATTCTTTATAAAAATTATGTGAGTAAATTGGAGTGCATACACTTCTCCAGTTATTTCATCACGTTTATATTTTCCTAATTCTGGAACATAATGCACGGCAGCTGGTTCTGTTAATCTCCATTCTTTATAAAATTTCTTATATGCATCGGGAAGTAATGCTGCTACGCCTTCGCGGAAAACCCCATGTTTTTGAAAAACACCTAACGTCTTTATTGAGGATTTTGCAATCTGCTAAAACACGTTTTATAATTTATTTTTCGTCTATTTGCGTTGCACAGTAACACACATTAGAAGCCATGGGTTTAGGATAAAATTACTTTCGTTTCCTTAAATACTACGAAAAGATGAATCCAACCTAAAATTTCTGATTCTTCTTTAGCTCTGTAAGTATAGTTGTCGGGATCATTCGACTAAGAAAAACTTAATTACAAACTAATTCCTCCTAACGGTTTGTTGACGATTAATTAGCACAAAATAGATGGCTCTAATGTCCTGGTTTGTCCTCAAGGATGCGCTAAACTTGCAAGACCGACTTCAAATCGTTTGTGTTTGTTTTTATAAGCTCAAATGCGAACGATTTATTTACGAGTTAATCATTAAACTGGCCGAATGGACCCTGATGATAACTAGAGTTGACCGAATGATTCTGGCGAGCTTCACCAATAAAATAGGATTCTAGTGAAATAGGTTAAAATAAAATAAAAAAGCAAAATTGTAAATTATTAGCTTTTAAAAAAATGAAAGATTCAAAATTGCTGCTTAAACAAGCTAGGGAAGCTATTATCAACAAAGACTTCCAAACTGTGATGAAATTGTCCAAATCGGTCCTTCGCGAAGACAAAGGCAATTATATGGCTTTGGTATATTTTGGAATAGCCCTTAAAGAAATTGGACCACTAGACCAAGCGCCAAAAGCATTTCGGAAAGCTATCGAGTTAGATCCAATAAATTTGTTAGCTTGGCAGGGATTAGTGAGTTATTATGAAAAACTTGAAAGTGAAGAAAAGTACAATGAACTGAGAAAATGTTACATTTCACTTTTAAATCTAGAAACTAACGAAAGCAAACTTGTTGATTATTCTCAAAAGCTGATAAATGACAAGGGTGCAAAGGAAAATATGTTACTCTTGTGCACTACTTTATATGATGTCGGCAAAAAATGTACAGGCAGTAATAAGATTTTGATTTTACAAATATTACAAGAACTTTTGTGTGAAATAAAAAACTCTGGTTCAGTTGAGCTGCATGACATTTATGAAGACTGTCTTTTGGAATCTGTGAAATTCAAGTGTATTAGTGTTAAATTTTATAGTAAGTATTTAACTGTGTTATATGAGCAGAACAAACCCCATTTGATTCATGAAGTTGAAAAAATGTATCAAATATTTCCAACAGATATTAGGTCATTAAGGTGGATTTGTAAAATATTTAATGAGCTTTTTGTAATTGAAGATGGGATGTATAAAACTTATGAAAGTGTAATTGATAAATGCTCTGACCAATTGTTAGAAAATGATTCTAGAAACTCTGTCGGTTTGTTTACAAAATCTATCAGGTTCTTTCAAAGCAATAATACAATCAAAGCAAAGGAAACCATTGTGATTGTAACAACTCAACAACCAGATATGACATTTGCTTGGATTTTTTGCACTGATCTATATCTAAAGTTAAATTTGATAAGTGAGGCTTGGATCAGCTGGCAAAATGCCAACAGATTGTGCAGTGTAATTAATTACTCAAATTTAAATCATAAAAGCAAATTAACGTATCAGAAAATTGAGCTGCTCTCAAGGTCTCCTAAGGAAGAGGATAGCCTTGATGCTTTGGATTTGTATAACCAAAATTGTAATACAAATAGCTTTTTAAAAAAGTCTTTGGTGACCATTATAAAGATAAAAATTAACTTGAACAAATATTCTGAAGCTAGGTTATTGATTTCCAAATTAAAGAATGAAAATGAGCAATGGGCAAATTTGTTAACAATAAAGCTCTTAGTAAAGGAAGGGAAATATGAGGAGGCTCTAAATGTTTGTGAAAAACAGGATTACAATTTTGTGGAATGGTGGATTGAAAAAGGATTATTGTATTCCCATTTCCAATATGATACCAAATGTCTGGAATCATTCTTAAGAGCTGTGAAATGTGATCAAGAAAACTATTTGTGTTTTTTACACTTGGGGATGTGCTATAAAAAAGTGAATAATTTGGACAAAGCTAGGAAGTGCTTAGAAAGATCATTTAGACTTAATCCACAATCTTCCGCAGTGGGTATAACACTCAGTCAGGTATATCGTGCATTAAAAAAATATGAAGACAATTTAAATTTATTGCAAAATGTAACTCAGCATCATATAAATCAGGACAACAAGTGGGCATGGCTTCAACTTGGTTTGACATATCTAGAACAAGGTAACACAGAAAAGGCTATCGACAATTTAAGATTTGTGGTGAGAATTGATTTTGAAAATGCTCACTGTTGGGAATCTCTAGCAGATGCTTATGTTGCAAGAGGAGCATACACATCTGCTTTAAAATGTTATCAAAAATCATTGGAATTATCCAATGCTGGTCTTTATGCCAGATATCAAGTTGCTACAATTAAGAGTATACTGGGAGAATATTTGGAAGCAAAGAAGGAATTTGAAAGTGTGTTGGTGCATAATGCCGACTATGTGCCTGCACTGAAAGGCTTATCAGAAACAAACTTTTCCATTGCAAAACAGTGTTATGCTGATCAGAGAATAGGAACTGCACGTGATTATGGTCAAGCAGCCGCAAATGATGTGGTTGTGGCCATTAAAAAAACAGGTGATCTATCTTGTTTGTGGAAGTTGTTAGCGGACTGTTGTCTGTTTGTAGCAGAATTACCTGAAAAGTATTCTTGCTTGCACTTATCTAGCAAACTACTGGACATTAACAACGTTGAAGAAGAAACGATTTTAGATAAAGAAGAGCTGTTTGAGTGTGCTGCCAAATTTTACTGCAACGCTATTAGTTTTACCAAAGGTGATGTGAATTTGTGGTATGATCTTGGAATTTGCTATGTGATGCATTCAAAAGTTACTAGTGACACCCGGAAAGAAAAACTCTTAAATTTTGCTTTACATGTTGCTCAGCATTGCACAAGCTTAAAGCCCACTAGTTGGCAAAACTGGAATCTTTTGGGGACCATAATTATGCTTGGAAATTCTTCTAATTTCGCATTAGCTCAGCATGCTTTTATTAAAGCGGTGACAGCAGATCATAATAGTTATGTCGCCTGGACTAATTTGGGTGTACTTTATTTAATACTAAATGAAATTAAATTAGCCAATAAGGCATTTGGCGAAGGTCAAAGATGTAATCCCAACTATGTGAATAGTTGGATTGGACAAGCCCTAATAGCTGAAACACTTGGCAACAGAGAAGCTGTTGACTTATTTCGACATAGTATTCAACTTGGACAACATCAACAAGGGGGCTTGGGTTATGGAAACTGGATCTGTCAGATACTATTAACAGATGACCCTAAAACTGTTGAATCGTCAGTATATAATATGAATGGATTATCTGTTGCTTGTGATGGCCTTAACTGGTATTTAGAAAAAAATCCAGAAAATGGTTGTGCATGGAATATTTTTGGAATAATAAATGAAAGGCTTGGATTAAACAAGACTGCCAAAGAGGCTTTCAGGAAAGCCTACCGACTCGCAGAAAAAGAGCACAGGGATAAGGCAAAAACAAATTATGGACGAATGTTATATCGTGAAGGTTGTTACCCTCAGGCTATTGCAATTTTTGAGGATATTGAAGTGGCCACTTTTAGTAGTGGAAGTGGTTTAGCGTTGGCTTTTCTTGGAAATAAAAATTATAAAGAATCTTATATTACATATGAGCAGGCCTTGCATTGGTTAACAGAGGAACAAACGTATCAGTCTGATTTGTTGGTAGCTTTGGGGTCAATAGCATATAAATTTCAAGGGCCGGAAGCAGCAAAAACACTATTATTTCAAAGCATTCAGTTAAAACCACCCTCAATGTGGAGTTTATATTCAACTTTTTCGGTCGGATTACTTCATAATGACTTGAAATTGGCCGAATTGGTGATGAATGAATTCAAAAGATTGGAATTCTTCTGGACAAACTCCCAAAAGGAATATAGCGACTTTATCAAACATTACTCATTTCTAATAACGCAATTTTATGTAATTAAAAAAATGCAAAAGGTTGCGATTGTTGAATTAAGCAAGTTAGTACACCGTCATCCCAATGAGGCATCGCCGTGGCTCACTTTGTGTCAGTTATTGATTTCACACCAAAATAACCAAAAACATGTAAGTGTCGTTATAGATTGCGCAAATGCGGTTTTGAAATTAAGTCGGACAAAAACTGATGTGTCACAAGTGCTTTGTTTGGCAACTATAGCGGCTATTATTGTAAAAGATTTAAAAATGGCTAGAATATACGCTCAAAAAGCAGTTCATCTTTACCCTCATATACCAGAAGATTGGGCAGTAGTTCTGATAACTTTATCAAAAACTCCGGAGCAGTTCTTGCCCCTTAGTAGAAATATAAGTAGACACTTTGAATCAGTCGAATGTAATAAAAATTTACTTAACTGGTTTAAAACATGCAGAAATCTACTTGAATAGTAAATAAACTCACTCAATTTAGTTTATAGCAAATCAAATCCAATAAGCTGCTTGTTCGGTACATTTGGCACCACTGTATGGTGTAGATTATTTAATAGTGGCAACCATTTTTGTGTGCTATATTGATCTTAATCTAAAATATTTGTCTAATTTACAACTCACCTTTTTGGTCTATGTAGAAATACACTTGAAATTTTATATTAATACAATTAATGTTTTGCATCGGATTGTGCTATTTTTTTTTATATAAATTTGTGTTTTGCAAAATTTGTCTTAAAATGATTGAAATATAGTCTGTCTAAAAGTGTAATTTTAATTAGGTCCATAATATACTTACCCATACTAAGAGCAGAGCCGCAGATTTGAGAGAACTCGAAACGAAATTGCAGGCTTCCTGTGGTAAAATGCCGCATCCAAAAGTTATGGACGATCTGTCATCTCTCATAGTTGCTTCGCATAAGCATAAGCAGGACCTCTGTATCTCTAGCTATATGAATAATAAATAGGGGAATCCCAGGCTTTAAGAAACCAAGGACGATTACGATTACTCCTATCTTACGTCATGGTATTGTGCTTAGTTTATGAAGGTTAGATTAGCCTTTTGGCTTAAGGTCGGTTCTCATATCGCTCACTGGGTACAATACTGGTACGTATCAATTTTTTTAGTTAATATAAATATTTTTTGTTTTAAAAAGAGAATAATACAAATCAATATGTAATTATAAAGGCATATAACTATAAATTTTGTAATAAGTAGAAGAGTTGATATGAGTAATCTTAATATTTCAGTTTTTATTTTCGTAAATCACTGATTTTCTCGAAACTAGTATTTCGTGGATTTGCCAGTTTCGCACCAAATGAGTGATATAATCATCATGTTTTACTACGTGAGTAGATATAATACCTGCGTTCAACAGCAATTTCGGCCGTTTTTACACGTAAATTCCCATAAGAAAATTTAAGGTTCATTGTAGTTGAAATTGGTCCCGGTCAAGGTCATTCGATCCATACCCTCTTAGCACCAACTAACCGTCTCCCTCAACCCCAACCCCCTCCCGCAACCCCTCTCAAACCCTCCCACAACCGTCACCCCCCACCACCCCCCCAACCCTCACACCCCCATTTCACAACCCTCTCACAACCACTCAACAGATGTGTTAGTCAGGTGACTCACCTTTTTTTCGCGTCTACCGAGGATCGAACCCGGGATCCGTCGCTTGTCGACCGCAGACTTTAACGCCGAGCTAACGAGCATATTAAAACCAATGTGTAATTATGTGTTTGATCTCGAGAATGATGACTCATCTTATTCCTGCCGAAGATCGAACCCGAAATTCGTCCGTCGTTGAACGGTCACTTTAATGCCGAGCTAATTATGTACCGCCGGTTCCGTCTCGTTGCTGCTAGATGTCGTGCGTGCGCGCTCTTGACAGTATTCCTATCAGCGGCTGCGTCACCCCGGCAGGTGACGGAGACGCTAGGACGGGATGACGCGGTGATCGGGAGTATAGGATCGACGGTAAACAAGTCGAGTGAGTTATACATAGTGCCTTAATAATCAGGTACACCCGGTGTGTTCAAGTTTAATTAAAGAAAACTATATACAATAACAAATATTTATCCAGAAGGGTCTTCTTCTTCTTCTTTTGCGTCCACTTTGTCGTCCATAAACGATGTTCCTGCTGATGACGTTCTTGTTCCCGTTCTTTCAAGAAATCTATATAGGAAATACACTCCTCACCGTCTCCCTCTGTCGACCACCCACCCTGCTGGATGCGCCAACATAATGTGTGTGAAAGTTGCACACACATACCAACATTCACATTTCTACTTCTTGTCATTTAAAAGACATTAAAAACACTATATACTTCAATTTAATTTGATTATTTTTACAAGTAAAAACGCGGATTATTGTCAAACGGAGAAATCGTGTTTTTTCTAGAACAAACAAGAAACAAAATATGTATATGTCGCGTTGCCTATAAAACAGATTTTTTAAACAAAACTTTTAGTAAGTGACGTAAGTAAAGTCACATTTCTATTCCCTGTCATTTAAAGGATATTTAAAAAACACTATATATTTCAATTTAATTCGATTATTATGCAACGTAAAAAGTGGATTATTATATTGTAAAAACAGGTAGGAACTGACCAAAAAAGTGATCATTGTTTTTTTTTGTTATTCAAAAATCACTGAGAAAATTAACGAAAACTGAAACCCACAAAAACAAAACAAAAAAAAAGACTCGCACTGTATTAGGGTAAATTAAAATCATAAAACTTATCAGTTGTAGAGTCATAGGGAAATAGATACCGCACTTGACATTGCACTGAATATAGTCTACAATACACATTAAATATATTTATTCACATGTTCTCCCGTCCATGGTTAAATTAAAAATTAAAAATTGACTTAAAAATCGAAAGGCACACAAACGCATATTTGAATAAACACGCTGAACGTATGTTGTCACCAGAGAGCCATGCAGGTGGGAGTCTCAAGGTCCACGTGCTCAGACGGGAACGACTTGACGCACAACCGCCTCGGACGTGCAGTCTCCCGCATGCAATTTTAAAGCGTGTCGACTTTCACTTGACGTAATTTGGCAAAAAAAATTAACACCCAACAAAATTACTGATAGCACACGCAAATATATTTTGCGCCTTAAAAGCAAAGGCGATCCATCCGCCCACTAGGATATCACCGCACCGTAGTCTCTTATCTGCGGTTGCGAGGCATTGACATCGCAAATTGGTTCGAGATAAAGTTGAATATATTGAAAAATTGAATCCAATAGCACATTTAATCTTTAAATAAATGTCTTCTAGATTGATAAACACTTTTTCAAACTAGGCATTTTGCAAATCGGTCGTCTGTTTGCTGTTAACGGTAGACACGTACTATAGGTACTGGTTAGTTGCAAAATTAAAAACCAAATTTACAGGAGTCAAACTGTTTATTGACAGTGGAAAATATAATAAAAGTAGTTGGAGGTAATAAGCGAAAAATATTAAGGACTTCCGGTCATTTTTATTCTAAATATGCCCAAAATATAATGAAAAAGATCAAAATATTTAATGCATTTTTAAAATAAAAATTTAACGAGGCTGCCAGACGCGAACTGAGCCCTTAAGCGCACCTCATTCGATTTTTTTAGGAAAAAAACGAAATTTCAAAGCAAAACCGAAAACACATTTATAATCAAGCGGAGACAGTTTCTTCTTCCATAATCGAATAGTGACCCCACGGTAACGTTTCTACTGACGACTTTGATATGCGACGTTTATCATCGCAAGGACTTAACCCGATCTTCTTTTGGGATACTGTGTGCAACTCCAGTTTGCTCGCTCTTATTAAATTCTGCGATATGTTTTTTTCAGCGAAATTTTGCAAACAATCGACGAAATCTTCAAAAGTTATCTTAGTTTTGATGAAGGATTTTTTAACTCCTTTGATCCTCTTCGTTACACCCAAGTTTTTAAATTCACGTTCAAATGCTTCTCGATCTGTTTCTGCAGCCATCAATTCTTGTTTTGCGGACTCCTCTTCCTCCGGTGTCTTGTATAGCTTTGTGGCGTACATTTTAGCTCTAAGTCCGATAAAATGAGACATAATTCGTCCATTGTTCTCATCCTTCATCATACCCAGAACCTTTTTATTGACTGTGGGTATACCGTACGGATTATCCTCCGCATAGTCCGATGTATCAAAATACCGGAAACAATCCTTTTTTAAAATCTCGTACGGGTCTATGGATAATATCTCGTAAACAAGAGAATCCGTGTCGGTATATAAAACTCGGGAATTGGAAAATCTTTCTTGAATGTAGTTGTAGTGAAAGTCATAAATTGTTGTCTTGGCTATCTCCATAATTGACATCCCAACGTAGATAGGTTTGTTAAAATATATTTCAGATTTTTTTAATTCAATAAGAACGAGATTTTTACTAATTATAGTTGCACTTTTAAATTCGGGTCGGGCAATCAGAGCTTCCGCACCGTAGCGACCTTGCCAGTTTTTCACAAGCTTAACTTTGGAATGGTTCCGTATGTTTTCCATTGTTTTTCCAAACACAGCATTGATCATCAATTTAAACAAGTTCTTTTCAAACTCGTTTTTGGCAGCCTGACGTAGTGCAATGTTTAGGTCGATATAGGCTTTTAACCAAGGCGACTGGCTGAACGAGACGGCTCGATGTACCTTTCTTAACTTAGCTCCCAGTTGTAGCGCCTGTTTCAGATTACGATAGTGAATGACATACTCCTGTTTGTCGTATAAGGTGGTCAGTAATTTTTGATTTTCGGATCCTGGAGGGCAGCGATGTTCGGGACATGGAGGTAAATCTGCAAATTTGTCGTGCAACTCCTTGGGTATTTCCAAATCGACCTCCAAGATGTAGCCGACGTCCGACTCGTTGGATATATTTAAAATGTCAAGATTTTCGATTTGCTGTTCATCCAACCAATTAAAACCTCCGTACGGTAGGTATTGAGACATTGCCCACCCGTATTGGTTATTGACGTCGAAATACATCAAGTATTTATCAACTTTGGAGGGATCGTAGCTGTGCATATATTTGTTGTTGGCTTCCGCATATCGTTTGGAGCACTGACTAAGGCCTCCTCGCATTCCTTTCTCGATAAACAAAATCATGTCGACGTCAGTGAGTAGATCGAGTTTTTGCTTCAATTTATACAACATACAGCTCCACGCGTATCCCGGCAGTGTGTACGCATGTGCAGGATCAAGTCCATAGGTCTTATGTGACGTTTCTCGAAACCTCTCAAAAACGTCTGCCAAGAGCAGGATGTCCGTCTTCATATAAAGTTCAGAATAATCCTGCAAATTTCGACATCCAAATTTCTCCCAGACTTCCTGAGCACGTTTGTAATCTTTTTTGGTCAACGGTTTGTCATCCAATATGTTATAAAATGCCGAAATAGGAGGCAAAACAGTTTCTTTCAACGTATTCCATCCATTCATATAATCGTAGGGGAAAACGCCTTTTTGTTTCAATATATTGGCTTGCTCCTCCGACAATTCACTAAATTCGAGCTCCAGTATTGGATATTCCGTTAAATTAGCCGCCAGCTTATCCAGGCCACTCGACATAAATCGAAAACTGTCGATGAATCGGAATTTCACCAGGTTGTCATTTAGGTGCCACGTAAAGGAAATATACTTTTCCTTGTTTACAGGTAGCAAGTCGATCGACCCATCACATTTGGCTAGAGCTTTTATTATTATATTTCCGTCATACGACGAAAGATTATGAAATACTACGGGAACGGTGTGACCATCCCTAAATTGGAGATTACAATTTT